TATTTTATGAAACTGTCTGCTAAATGTAGTGAGATGGGGCTTATTACCTGAAACGCTTAGAATAATTCTTACTTCAGATATTTGAAAAAATTCCAATCGCTTTGCTGATGCACGAACTAGACTTGTTAATTAAGTACTTACACTGAGAACATCTCTAAAAGATGGTCAATTTTTACCCCACCGATGCAAGTATATGGTTTTTAGTTCTTTCGTTGGTAAACCGAAAAGATGGCCTTCGATGTCGGATGCACAGTTATAACAATGTACCGTATAACAGTGTAACAGTTATAGCATTAAGCAAATGCGTCCGAAAAAAGACGTCCGTCAAAGTCGACCTCAGTTCTAACCCTCGGTCAAAACACCAGATCACCTAATCTTCATTAATTCCCTTGTACATTTTATGAAACCCCTATACTACTCATAACAACTGACATCTGGTTTCAACATCTTCGTCATAACCTATATATACCTCCTTGGCACGTCAAGCATCTCAAGAATAGTGTACTCATCACAAACCTCTTTTCACAAAAGTGACGTATTTGAGCTAACTTTACTTTATTTTTTGGTGTTAAGGTAATATATTGGATAATATAGGGCTAATTGAAGTTAACACATTCTATTGCACTGGTTTTCCGCGATAGTATTGTTAGCAACTTTGCTCCACCTGTGCCAATAAATAGACAATTATATGAACAATTAAATTACATTCAGTCGGTCACCACAATCAACAGTATACTGGAACTCGGCATAATTAAGGAGTTGCTACAAACAAATGATTCATATATTTTACCTGAAATCGTCAATATCTTGTGTTCCTTAAACTTTGAACAATATACATCAATTAGCATTTCTAACTATTAGCCTCCGTGAACGGCTGTCGTGATTTAAAAAAAATCAGAGCCGCAGACCGCTCTATAATTCAGCTTCTCGAGTTTTTCGCTTCAGTGCTGAATGAGAAAACAAATCATTTACTCAGACTTTGGCATTTACTTATCATCTGCCGTTGAGTGATATGTGCATTTTTTTTGCGTGTTACGTTTTCGTGATGATTTAATTGTGCTACTTTAAGTTAGTAGGCAAGAGATAGCAAACATTCATTGAATTGTGTACATTGTTATCAAAAAAGCCATTTATTTAAGGAACACTATTTACTGAAAAAAGAGTAGAACATAGGCGTAACAAGTCCAGTGCTGTAGAACTAAATTTATCAGATGGGGGCTCTCTTGACGTTTTTGTCAATAGTGCCCTTTTAAAATTACCCATCTCAAAGGTAGTGGGCTCCTCCCCCAAGCGCCCCCCCTTCTTCCGCACTGGTAACAACTATTTATTTATGTAAACACTGGTGGGCTTATCCTCTACGTCAAAAATATTGAAAAGCTCCTGGCCCTTAGCTACTCTTTCCGTTCTTGTTGACTTCTGTCATTCTTTTACAGCGAGAAAGAAACATATAAAATGAAACCTTGGTAAAGACAGTGAAATCATGCAACCACCGGAGGCCATTAAATTATATGTTTACTGTCATATTAAAGTTGTATTTATATAATATTATTGTTCTAGTTATCCTGTATTATCTTGAAATATTTTTTATCAAACTTGGCAACACAGGAATACGTTCTACAATACAGCGTCGGCAACCATGAATATGTTTTAAACCACTCCCCCCTGAATGTGATGTTGTTTATGCATTGTTCAGTCAACAACGCATTGTTGACAGAAAATAATGCGAGTGATGACCAATTAATTATAACTAATCCAACAATGTCGTCATGTTTTGTTAATTTAACAACCTCCAACATTATTGTTTAAACAACCTCCAACATTATTGTTTAAACAATTGTTAACAATATTGTTAACAAGCCGTTTTAACAGCGTGCGGCACATTGCTGTAATCTGTTCTGAACGATCGTGAACAAGTGAGAAGTGGTTTGCTACACTAGAAATAGGCTGAATGATTGTATTCGTTGATTTGTATCTTACGATCAGAAGGCTTTTGACAAGAGCCTCTCAAGCTCGCCTTCCCCCCTCCCTTTTGTCACTTGACTCCCCGACACCCACCAGCTACGCCATTGGGCAAAGAACTAGAATTTTTTTCGCATAAGGATTAATAATGAACGAATTGGTAATCTTTTGTGAAAATGCCGAGACACATAGCCCCAATATTTTGGAATTAATGACTGGAATGAACGGAGTAAACGGTTTTGTTAAAAAACATTTCTCAAAGTGCATTTTTACATAAAAAGTAGATGGTGAATTTTTAACAAATTTTTTTCAACAAATGCAATTACTTCATATGATAACTTTTAAAATTAGATTTTGAAACTGGCTTACTTGAAGTTTTGAACTTCTTATTCTTTCCTTTATTATTCTTCAGGTGGCTGCAACTAAACGACGCAATTCGTTTCCGTGCAACCAAACTGGACAACTCCTATAATGTTCAAAGAAACATATCTTTCCACTGACTTTAGCATTCTATTCTCGACTTGAATGTGATTCGGAGTGACATTCTTTGGTGTGCTGGAAAGGGAGCAAGGTGGCCTCCCCAGCTGTTGAATTTCGGGGGGCACTGAAAGGAATAAGGGTGGTCAAATTTTAAATTTATGTTGGAGAAACGAATTTTAATTCAAAGGTTAGTATGAATTTACTCTTTAAATTGCAGAAAATTAAAGCTTCTTAATTTCAAATTTTTCTGGGGGAGCATGCCCCCGGAACTCCTAATCAGGACTCTCAACGTCGGTGCTCGGCTCAGGCCTTTGACCCTTGCTTTTAAGTGCAACATTTTTAGGGCGTGTTATCAGTTGTAAGGTACTGCCCTCCTCTCCAAACAAGTAATTCCCAGCATGCCACAGTACAACAAAAGTCAATACTGAACTGCAAGTCAACATCGACGAATGTAAAGAGTACACGAATAAAAATTACACTACATAAATGATAAATTATTATATTTATTAGAATTTAAAAAAAATTTTTACTTTGCTTAATGTAGCTTAAGACACAAACAAATGACTTAAAGAAGATTATGCAGTTAGGTTTAAGCGTTACTTTGTCGTTATTCCAGCCGGGGCGAGGATTGATGATCGACTGTTTCATAAAAAACAAAGTACAAGCGCTTTGGTGGTAAATAATAGATATAAAGATCAAATGGTTCATCGCTAGTGTTTGATTTACTCAATCGGAAAACCAATTTATTACAATAGCCTACGAATATACTTTGACGAGTAACTTACGTGGCACACAAAAACGTAAATATTCTTGCTTGCTTTGTTTATCACCAAAATATTTTGAGCGTGGTTTTGTAAAGCTAGTCAGCTTTGCTATAATTTTGTGCCCTGCGTCTTTCATTTGCATGCAGAAAAAAAGTAGCGCGAAATTGTCAAAATGGCGAATAAACACAAAATCAATCAACATCTTTGTATTTCCCAAACATTTCAATATTTTCGTTCAAAAGAAGTTTTAACGACAAAAACGAACCAATGGGCAAGCCATACTCTGCCTATTCTTCATTTGACATCTTGTACAGAACTTCATAACATATTTTAGGTGAAATTTGAGCAATGTCGATCGTTTGAGCTCAGTGTTGTCGAAAGATATATTTGATTTGCGAATACTTGGTAAAAGTAAAATATTAAACAAAAATTTGTTTCAAAGCGTTCGGAAAGCCAGCACCAGGAAAAGGCTGAAGAAATATCGTAAAAAACACATTGAAATACCGCGAAATTGTTTTTTTCTAGCATAAGAATTGATAGAGTTCTCGTACAAAACTTGACACAACGAAGACTGGCTATTTAACGCCATATTGCACAAAAAAACCGATGACAAGATTTACAAATTAATGTCTTTCCAATCCATTTAAAGGGCATTTAAAGGTCTTTGTTCAATCCAATGTTTCGTTAACTTACCTTTCCCCTTAAGACGAACACAGTCGACATGCTTTCCTAACTCTGACACTTGTTGCCTTGTTCATCGAAGGAAAATGGCGGACACAGAATCGCACAAGCACACGAGTTTAAGTCATTTGATGTATCACAATTTGATTGGTCGATATTGATGGTTAAGAAATATTAATTAAATATTCTAAAGCTCTGATTGGTTAAAATTTGAAAACGTTATCTAACATGTGCAAACCAGTGAATGACTGAATGGTGAAAAGGCATAATATGAATTTCTGTACTTACCATTTTTTACTAAAATGTTGTTGTTATTCCTGAGATATGTTGTCAGTCAATTTTCAAAGAATACATAGATATGAAATCTTCAAACAGCAAAATTTTTGTGAAGTATATTTTAAAACAAGATCAGTAGATTTGAAAAGTTTGTAGTGTGTGTTGGAGCATACAATTCAAATATTACAAAATGGCGTGATACTTTTTTATGTATATAGTTAACTCGAAATAGCTGGATATCTATTTAATAATTGCATTTCATAATATATGTAAAGCTTTTATATTAGAATGAGATCCTTTTCGACTTAAAACCTTCACCTTAATTCCCACGACTAGGCTCAAAAATTAATGCATAAACCATCAATGTCTTATTAATCAGAGGCTCTGTCATTAATGAATTAGATTCGAGGGAACAGCGAAACCATACGCCATATTTTAATTTGTTAATTTTGCAACATTGCTCACATGAACTTCACACCATTCTAGATAGTGCGTTTAAAAACACACCTTATACTACAAGAAAGAAGTTCGGTAACGTGTTTTTAATCAATATGGTAAGGCGAGTTGTGATTGGTGCAGACTAGCAATGATTTCGTTAGGAGATGTAACGCAATTTGCGGTTGGTGCAGACTAGCAATGATTTCGTTAGGACATGTAAGGCGATTTGTGACTGGTGCAGACTAGCAATGATTTCGTTAGGAGATGTAAGGAAATTTGCGGTTGGTGCAGACTAGCAATGATTTCGTTAGGAGATGTAAGGTGATTTGTGACTGGTGCAGACTAGCAATGATTTCGTTAGGAGATGTAAGGCGATTTGTGACTGGTGCAGACTAGCAATGATTTCGTAAGGAGATGCATATATTTAGCTAACCGTATTCCATTGACAAAGCTAGATAATAATCAAATTTTTTATGTGTTTTTAAAACGTTTTGCAAATACAAAAAACAAGGTTTCCACTTTCTCATTAATGGCTTTGACAAATATTCAACAAATACCAAGCTGAGAACACGCGATATCTTACGCTAATTACAGTAAATTGACGCATGAGAAATGTAACATGTTACATTTGGTAATTGATGGTAAAATGTTCAAAACGCGACCATTTTGAGCACGATATTTGATGAGAGGAAGTTCTGGATTTGTTTTGTCATGCAACAAACATGACTTTCAGTGGTTCATCTTGTGGCTCCTCTTGTAGGATTTCAAGCAGTTTAGCAAATCAATACTCATTAAAGACAAACCCTCTAATTCGAAAGACTTTCGTTTTGTGCGCGCACTATGACGACTCTTGATGAAATCTTTTTGCACCTATTATCCAAACTATACAACAGACCATAGACACAGTACACAGCACTTGTACTTACAACGCACGGTCGAAGATGAAAACGATCAGATATAGCCAAAGATCATGTCATCTTGAAATCGCGCAATTGTCTCTGGGTCGTATTTAAATGCCTACGTAGAAGAATCAATGAAACAAATAAAATAATTTTCACAATGTTTTAGTGGCTACATTAACAAAAAAAAGATACGTGACCGTTTGCGAGAGTTACGCCTGTAGATTCTAAAAGCTCACTCATGCACTCTCACCGAGTGGGGCTTTAAAACCATCTCGTAATTATTCGAAGACGGTAGTTTTGCTCTCCTGATTGCTTAAATCGAAATATTTTAAGCAAAAGTCTGATGGAAAAAAGCTGAAACGCACTCAATAAGTGTGTGCGTGTGTGAGAAAGCTTTTAGAATACAACTGTTATTCTTCAAATAGCTACAAGTTGTAGCTATTTGAACAAAACTATTACGTCTTGGAGTTATAGAAAGGGCATGTACATTCAGTAGCGTAAACAGCGTGAAGATTTTGTCTCGCAAAGTAAATTTTGAACTTCAACTATTATTCATCATTTAGAAATTGATTGGTATTGAACCCGTGAACACTAAAGTATTAATTTATGATAGCATGAGTCGGGCTGGCTACGTTTTTGAATACATCGCAGGCATTGTTAGCCTTCAAGTTTTAGTACTGCGATGTAAATTTTAAATCATTATCACTATATATTTCTTTAGAAATCTATTGATATTTTAAATAGCAGGACTATTTAGCTCGCATCCTGGCTACGTCATTGCATCGTTACATGTTACATAGAGCAGCAGCTCTAGACCGTCTGAAAGTATTGTTTATATAAAACTGTAGTCAAATGACAGATATACGTAAAGTCGAACAAATATAGTTTTATCGTGGACAGATTTACATTTTTTTACAGGTGTGGAGCTAAAAATTTTCAGGGCAGTGAGATGGTAAGGAAGTGAAGTAAGACAAAGCATGGGTATAGATTTTAGGGGCAGTCTGGTAGTGCAGCAACCGAAGGTTGTGTAGAAAGGTGAAACATTGCCCAGAAAAAGTCAGTTCATCAGCACTAATGATTTGTTTTGCTACAGATTGTAGGGGTAAAGTGTAGAGGTGAACAATCCATTTAGGAGGGTGATATTTAATATCTGGGGGGTGGCAACCTCTCCCAGAAAATCTGTCCATGGTTTTTATTTTATACACCTGTTTAAACCAGATTTTTGACTTTTCTTCGTTCTTCTCCACTCCATAACCTTTGTATAAGCATCGTCCATACACCAAGCAACCAAGTGAAATTCCTTTCGCAACATAAACAGGCATACAGTCAGTAACTTTGGCAATTTTCTTGACGTCTTCGAGTTGACATACACTATTAAGGGACAACAAATAAACACCAGTACGATTCGCTACAATAAGCAACAGCAGCATAGTTAATTTCTACATGACATACCTTTGAGCAATTTCAAAAGCTTGATTGAACAATTTATGACGATAATAATGCATTGCAAGATTTCCCTGAGCGTAGACATTTCCTCTTTCCGACGCGCCTTTCAGACATTTAAATGCAGCTCTTACGTCACGACGAACGCCAATGCCATACTCGAACATTACACCCAAGGCACCTGAGGAGTACATGACTCTGTTTTAAAGAAATTGGGCGACGAGTATAGATGAAAATAAATTCATCAACGACTAATTAGAAATGCGTCTACTTAACCATTAGATTACGAGCTCAAGAATTCTGAGGTGATAGTTGATGAAGGCGAAGCTCGAATGAACTATAGCATGGAAATCTAGAGCGAGTATTCATGACGAAAAGGGTTGCTATAATTTTCCTTATTTTTTTGTTTTTAATATGCATTTGTTGTTGTTGACATTGTTTGTATTAAAAAACAAACGTCTCTTGCTCAATGCATGTTGCACAATTACTTTGCGTTTAAATAACTTAACGCCGCAATTTGGTGGCAACTTAAGTTTTCGAGTAACAAGTAAACAATCAAGTTTATAGTCAGAAACCTGAGTGACCTGATGTTTTTTTTGCTACTCGCTCTTTATTACAAAATGGTACAGCAAGTAGAGTAGCCAATCAAATTAACGCATTGGCAATAGAATACCGGTAGTAATAAGCACTTAGTTACCTAGTGCAGCCCTTTATCTATTGTAATCATTAGGTATAATCAAATTAATCTATAAAACCAATGATAACTAAACTTGGTTTAGAAAGCAATGGACGATATTATTGCCAGATATTTCACAGTTTCTCGATTTTTCCTCTGTATGTTAGTCAATTGCAATGACAGTAATAAAGTAGTAATGAAGTAAATGGTTTGAACCCGGGAGTATCGTTACATGTTTGTAAATGATGATCGTCCAGGTTAATAAAGTCCTGAGAAGGACTGTTTTTGTTGTTGTTGACTGACGTTTCGACAACCTTAGCGGTAGTCATCTTCAGAGTCAAAGAACTCTGAAGATGATTACCGCTAAGGTTGTCGAAACGTCAGTCAACAACAACAAAAACAGTCCTTCTCAGGACTTTATTAACCTGGACGATCATCATTTACAAACATGTAAAGTAGTAATGACATGGACACAACAATGTAAAGACTATTTTACCTTGAGATTCAATGGATCCATTTCCGGTTGCTTCTTGGTGCCAATGATACGACTATACGATCAATGATCAAAAAATTATAAAATTAGAGATAAGGAAGAATAAACCATGAACCTATACCTTCTGAATATTGAGTTTGGTCTCGCCTGGTCTAGAATAGAACATTCCCAGAATACTTTGTGCTTTTACTGAGCCTTCAGGCAATCCATTTCTAGCAGCTAACAGCCAATAATCCTCTGCACGATCATCACTTTGCTTAACTCCTTTGCCCTCATAGTATGCACAGCCAAGATTGTATTGGGCATAAGGTATTATTGATGCAGCTTTCTTCTTGGTACTATTGCAAATCGATTCCATTATTTCAAATCCTTTCTCCTATGAAACCATATTATGAGCAAGATCTACCAAAATACTTTATACAGCCATTGAATACATTTAGATTTCAAGCAATCACTTTTAGTCTGACTAATGTTTGGGTATTTTGAATTTGAAATTTCCTTTTTTTAAATAACTAATTGCACTCAACGTCATAGCTGGTAGCATGGCCAGCCTAACTTTGCTGTCACACTGTGAGCAAAGTTTACAACAAATATATATTTATTCTATATAATGTATTGGTTTCAAAATGATTGTGAAAAAAAACCAGGAATATTTTGGAAGTATGACCAAGTGTTAAGGTTTGCTGCAGCACTGGGGCCAGTCGCACAAAGGCTGAATAGCGTTATCCACTGGACCCCTTTTTTTCTACAAGTTTGAAATAATTACTATCCAATGAATAACACTATCGAGGCTTTGTAGAACCAGCCTCAGGACTTTCAAAATATAAAACTTCAGAGGAATTATAAAATACCGTCCCACATACTTGTAATATGGTATTGGTTCTATCTACAAACTTGACCCTAGTCACACTAACCTTAATCCTAACATTGTCTGATTGTGTTTAGCAGTTTTTGTGGCCAGGGGTGAAGTTAGAATGCCAGTCAGGGAGGGTAGGGTGGGTATTCATACACTCAGCTCCGCACAACTTACTTCTTTTCAAATTATGATTGCTTTCAAAAGTAATTAATCAAGTATCTAGAGCTGAATACATGAATGTTCAGCTCCTCTCCCCCTAACTTATTAATTAGCTTTCTAGCTTCGTGGCCTTTACCCTTGGTTGGGTCAGTAGCAGATTACTCAGTAGGCTAAGCGCGCTGCTTACGAGTTCTCAAGACGCTGGTGGTATCTATTATCTAGACATAATGAGTTTTTACTTTTGACATTTGCCTGCTAAACAAATGTGACTGCTAAACAAATGTGACTGTTAAACAAATGTGCCTACTTTAGACAATATATGCTGTTGATTATCGTACGAGCAAACGAGTTTTCTTCCCCAGATGCGCACACCATAGGAAATGCAAAAGCAAAGGAACGTGAGGAACGCAAACGTCGTCAAGAAACTGAACTTAGTGGGTGAAATAAATATCACTTGAAAGTGATAACTTTGTCTTTAATATACCAAGGGCCCCGTATCCCACCACTGGGCAGGGTATTATATAACCTTGCCATTATTTCTGACGCTACAGAAGTCTAGAAACTAAATAAGGCAATAGGCATGTCAATCAACTCAAATTATAAATACGTACAGTGTTTTCTTGCACTCCTAACCCATCATAATACATAACTCCAAGTTGATACAACGCGTGAAATTCGTGGTCTTTAAGTTTCTCAAACTCCGCGAACGCTTTTTCGTATATTTCTCGCTCAAAGTAAAACTGTCCAAGTTGGAATCTCGACGCGGGATCGTTTCTTTCCAACAGTAGAGTTTCTAAACGATCATCTCCCAGTACACCATCATTATCGTCCTGTTCTTCGTCAAAAGAACGTCCTGAAGAAATTGAAAGGTCTTCCGCCTGCAGTTTGTGTAGATTACATACTATGTCTCCGTCTGTCACGGTTAAAGATGATTCCATGGTTATGTACAAGCGCAAAGAAGAACTCGAAAATCAAAATCAGACGGTTTAGTCCGCCATGTTTTTCTTCTGTTGTCATGGTAACAAAATAATCAGGTCAATTGAAATTATTTTCAATTATGCACAATATTTATGATGCTCATTTACAGTACAATTTACCTTTTGTACTCACTAAAGTTTTCATTGCAATCTGCAAAAAATCATCTCTACTTTATTTATAAAAAAATTTCGTCCAAAGCTACATTCAAAATTGGTTGTCTTCCTTTTCCCAGCTTCTTCATGAAGATCTAAGACACGACTCACGAGTCATTTGACTTGTGTAAGTCAAACATCGCCAAACTTTTATTTATGCACTCATCCTGTGTAATGGAAAAAAATTTTCTTGTGAGAAATAAAAACTAAATTTTATAGCTAAAAAGGATGCAGATCGTACATTTTTACAATTTCCGATGAAACCATCGACTGTGACATAACCATCGTCGCTTTTATTAAGAATCTATGAGAAAAGTATGTGCTGGACAGTAGGAGAAAAGATTGAAGAATATCTGAACGACTATTGACGTAGGAGTTAAAATACTTTTTTCAGTATGGAGTAAGCTGTAGAAAGATAGGTGTTTGCATAAAATGAAGCTGACCATTGCAAAGACTCATGTTTTCACACTGCACAAAATATCTTCAATGCAGCCCTAGCCATACCTCAAAAATCCGTAAAACCTGTTCTTGAATTGTCTCACTTTCATTTGAAATGGACGACGATCCCATCAAATTATGAACAGCAGTCACGATCACAATCAAGTCGTGCCTTGAAATATACCCATCACCATCCACATCGTAAAGATGGAACATCCACTTCAGTTTATCTTCGGTTGTGCCATGTAAGGCAATTGATAGCCGTAATATGAAAGTCTACAGTTAAAAGTAATAAATTCACTCATTAGATGATTTAGAACCCAAGCCCTAACATCCGTGTGAAAATGGTCAATAGGAAGCAAGAACGCCATCTACAATAGTGGCAAAAAACAAGACTCTCGGTCAAAATAGATTAAAAGAATGTTTAAAAAAACAAATTTCATCAAACATTTTACGTAAAAGAACTTAAGAAGCACGTTACAGTCGTACATATCATCAGTTTTGCGAAGGTTGCGCCTTGCCTTACTGGTAAAAACAGAATCATGACAGAGTCAGGTATCTAGTTGATTTGGTTCAAGGTCAGTGGACTTATTCGTGTTAGAGACCGTTTTCACAAAGATTGTCGCTAAGTCCAATCTTAAGTGATCCTCGGAATGAGGGAAAACACTGTTTAAGTCGAATGTGTTTGTGAAATTGATAAAGTATGTGTTTTGGCATCTCCTTTGAACATACGTCATAGCCATGTTCTTTAACTATACTGGACAAAATATTCACCTCGTAAGAAAGTTTTCCTCTTCTATCCAAGTCAAATGCGTTGAAAACAAGGTCGGCGTATTGCGTTGAATCTTAAAGAGAAACGAGAAAGGCTCCACAAAATACTAATATACCAAACGATTGAACGAAAGCAATTGTAATTATTGTTTAATGGAGCATACTTCCAAAATCTTCGAATCATAATGAAAAGATCACCGGAAAATTCAACAGAAAAGTCCTACATGCTACGGCGACAGATAACCACAGAAATCTAGCTATTTCTACTACCTCCATGAGGAAAAAATTGAGCGTAGATTTTTTTGAAAACTTCTTTATCAGCATAACCTTTAGGACAATCCTATTTAAGAAAAATGCCCGAGAGACAGATGTAAACTCATTTTACAATACTAATCAAACTATTTTAATCTAAAAGCAAAATATACAGAATCGAACTCACATTTTTAAAGCCCCTGTACATACGCTGCAGTTCGGGTCTTGTAAAATTTGTTTTCAAAAGCAGTCCCTCCATCCCCTCAGTTTGCTCGGAGAAATAGTTGAAGGAAGATTCTGTTAAGCCATCTGAAAAATGAAAAACATCATGCCTTCATGTCAAAATATGTATTTCGTGAAATAAAACAAATTTGACATGAAACATCAAACTTTTTTTACCTTCAACTGTCTGATCATCGTCCGTGTTCTCTTTTCTCGACTTGCACCCTAAATTTTTGATGCAAACATTTGGTACAGAGCAAAAATGTGCTGTGGGCTTAAACCAACATGCAAGTTATTTATATATTTGGATACACGCAGAAGTTTTAGTTGCTTGATTGACCTCCATTAGCGTCAACCTTTTGAAAAATAGACATGTTTCAGAATGTCTTGCTTAATAACTTCGGTACTCACAGTGCTTAGAATAAATCTTGCATAGTAGAAAATAATTTTTTTCTGATTCAGAAATCGTATATCCTATTTTAATTGTAACATACATACATATTATTATCATACTAAATATGGAAATCTATATGTGGATCTTATATGTGGTTGATTTAGTCGGAGGGGGGAATGTGCTCTAGTTTGAATGACATTAGAATTTGGAGTAATTCAAACTAGAGCACATAAATAAACCCTATGTGTCGAAACATGTCTATATTTAAAAAGACTTGTCGTGTTCAATAAATGAAGATGGTGTTTTGCATGATTAAGAAGAAGCAAAACAGGAAGCTGAACATGGCTAGTTGATGGGCAAAGTTATCAACAGAACCATACCAACCTCGGATGACTTTGAGCACGGATCCAAGGCTGGAAGCGTGTTTGTTTGAATTGTTTTCACAGCAACTATACATGCAGTTATCTGTTGGTGATTGCGGCAACTTGATGTCATCATTCAAAACATCTCCGTCTACCGACGATGCTAAATGGTGAACAAAGAGATTGTCACTCGTGAAATTTGCCTTGAATACAACAGTTTAGAAAAATTTGCTAAGGGATGATATTTATTGCCTTTTTTTTCTGAAAATTATTGCGAATGATACACCATATTGGATGAAACTATTGAGATCTGGACTTTACCAACTATATCGTCTTCTACATAATCTGGTAACTGAATGCTAACTAACTTTATATCGTTTTACAGTGTATCTATTATCTCCTCTTTGGTCATTCCTTTGGTTCCATTCTTACAATAAACTCAGTAGTTCCCTCTTCCCGTATGTTCATACCATCTTATACCTCTCAACATTGCCTCTCTCTCAATATGTGACATGTGTTGACCTTCAGGTGTACTTCAGTATTCCATATTCTACGTAACCCTGTCACTTTTAATAAGAACTGTTAGGGTCTTCATCTTTGGAATCTCGACACCAGATACTTATCTACAACCCCACCTGGATGCAGATGCTTTTCACCAGCCTAACTAAAATCCTCCGTCTTCTTTAGATCTATCGGCGTAACCAAGCTGTAAAGCTGGTATTTCTCTCGTTCTGTCTTGTTTTTGCTAGTTTGAATTCCCTTCATTTTTCTACTCTACTAATGTCTGCGTTTTGTTTATTACAAAAACAAGGAATTAATTATAATTTAGCTTTCATAGAAATTCTCAAATCAGTTTTCAGTTAACTCATAGATACAAGTGAAATTTTTGGTTCGTAAATGGATTGATATATTTTGAAATAAACATGCCATACACGTGAATCATATTTGATAAAGTGATTTGATTGACTCCACGTTGCTATCTGACGATATATGCAACGACGGCAATATGTTATCATACAATTTATCATGCTACATGTTACGCCAAGGTCGAACGATCAAAGCTTGTTGATACAACTTTGTCCAACTTTTATGTGACATGTTGCTATCGTTTCACAACCATAAAAACGAGTTGAAACTGTTGGAAAATGTTGGCTGAAGTTCGAAAAAGTTTAAGTTCGACAATGTTTGTAGCCAGTTACGCATGCGCACAACAACCCTTAGGCTTTAGAAGCTTTTAAAGTCGTATTGTGGTGTTCCATGCTCACTATGTGATAACTCACAAAAGTTAATCTTGAGACGAAACTGTGGCATGCTTTTAGTTATTTTCAATCGAGTTTTCTCACAACTGCATTAAGTCAAAGTAAAAAGCCTGTTCATTAGCTACATTGTATATTTCGTACACCTGTAAAAACGCAGTATTCAATATATCGTGGACCTTCAAGTAACAAGTTAACTTTGTGTGCGCCTTTTCCGTAAAGGACTCCCAAGTGTCCAGACAGACACCCAGGGCTTCTCTAGCCCATACCGAACCGTGCTTTATAAAACAATAGAAAAAAACGGATGAAAAGATGATCATGGCCGACGATACTCAAGAAGAAAAAACTAGCAAACAATGAGCAATATAAAAAGCAGAATGAATTCGTCATTCGCTTATATAGCAACCATTGTTTTTGCGTCCGTTGGCTATTGTTTGTTTTGATACATTACGCTATAACTATAAGGATGATTGTACAGTAAATCCGATATGGCGTTGAATTTTGTTCCCATTTGACAACTACGATCGAGCAACAAATTTGGAGAGTGTTAGAGAAATATGTTGCTTTGGTTTGCCTAATGATTTATGTACGAAGTATATATTTATATACGATAGTTTTTCATAAACATACAGAGGCTTAACCTACGTATAAAGAAGTTTCTTATATATGAGACAGACAGCTACTGAGTTTAAAAAAATACATCTTCTATTTAGGGATCATATCATCGTAAATTAAATAATTATATGTTATACGGCGCTCAATGATCTGTATACGACTATTGTATTTTGCATCCGTATGCATGTATTGTTGACTTGCATGAATACTGTATATCTTGCTCACGATTTCAGTTCGTGTTTTCTGCATCAGTAAGAACGATGAAATACCTTTCTGTATCGGTTGGCTATTCTTGCTACCCATTTTCCTCATTGCCAAAGTTCATTTTCCTCACTGCCAAAGTTCAGGTTTCGTAGGTACTTCGTTTGTTTCAAAAGTCATTTGTTTATAATACATATATTTTTCACCTGTTCCCTTCCTCCAAGTAATTTGCACGTCATAAATTATGGATGTTCGACGTTTTATTGAATTATCGTCAGTCCCCCATAAGAGGAAATTTTGGTTTGATGACGTCAAGTGGGTAATTGCTGTCTAATTCCACGAGAGGCAAGATTAAGACAATTTATCGCCTTTATTTTGATATCACGAGGTTTCGCGCTCGATTTTAATGATTCTTGAGGCTGCATGCATCAACAAGATGAAAAGAACAACAAATAATTTCAATTTCTCAATGCATGATTACTCGGTTAATTAAAGACATTTTAATGGCTGATTTAAAAAATTCCAGCGATAATTTTATCTGCGCGCACGATCTAAGTCAGTCTAGAAAAATCTGAATCTCCGACACGCCTCGAACAGTAGCTGTGCAAGGTATCGGCCACAACATATAATACTGAAAATATATTTCCGATTTAAAATAGTTTAGAGAAAATCCTATTGGGCCGGAGTATTTTAGAAGTTTTCAACCAACAGCGTTTTAAAAAAAGTCTTTTTAATTAAAAATGAGCTTCTATAATTTATTTTACCTACCCTTTTGACATCCATCACTGACCGAACTTTTGAGATTGACATTTTTATGAGAATTTTTTGTATACCCCATGAGAGGGCGACAGCAGTTTCTTAGAAATAAATGGTTTCACAAATTGTTTTCACAGATTGTACTTGTACGCTCAACAAAATCACTGCTTCATTAAAATATGAGAAAAACGTAGAGTCCACCGCTCTACATCGACATAGTCTCATTTAAACGCAATGCGTGATCTTACAGCCTACGAAATGTGATTATTTATTCCACACAAGCGACAGACCGCCAGTGACAATCTTGGCTTGCTCTTTGGTCATTTTGGAGGTCTCGAGTTGTACAAAAGAATAGTTTATCAAAGATATTGCGGACACCAGCCGATGATAACGAACATGTCGTTTTCTAAAGCCCTGGAGAGGATGATTGCAACCCAGAGACACATTTTCATAAGACAAATTTTCATTTTTTGTGTTTCCATTGCGATCAATGATGCCTGTAGGGAACTTATTAGAAGAGAACCTGTTAATTTTTGTATTTTTACAAAGCCAAAAAACACAACACGGGCAGGTGCAAAGTTCAAATGTTCATCAAAATACATTTGTCATGCATGTAATTGTGTTAAACACAAACATTGAAATGCAGATGCTTTTAATGCAGAAAATGAACAATTTTCAGGGAGAAAATATATCGTAGTACAGTTCTCTTACATACTACGTTATACACCATATAACGTTTTTAAACAAGTGTCCCCTCGCAACTTTGAGTCTTTGAGAGATTATCTTGGTTATCTTAATGTATGTTATGGTATTTTGTAGATATGAAAACGAGTTTCCTTGATCAGCGAATGTAATTTGTGCACATATGGCTGTAACGTTTCGTACACATGTGATTCGAAGGGCCCATTCACACTAACGCTTTAAATCGACTCGAAATCGATTCGAGTCCATGTATGTGGGCTAATGTGAACACTTGCAAGTGATGCGAAAACGAATTCGATCCGAACTAACTTGGGCCACTTGAGAAGGTGGTCTCGAATTGGGTTAGTTTAGTCTGCACTATAGTGTGAGCATGCAACACGAACAGAATCGCATCAATCTTGATCAATCACATGTTTTTGGCTTAGTAACCAGGCTTTTCGTGCGGTCACACATGTCACGTGTTTCTTTTTGTTATGTTTGCTTGCAGCAATATTGTACAGTTTCACTTTTATAAGCAAAATGTCGAAACGCGGAGAAACCTGGTCTGATGAAGAACTGATGGCACTGATTTCTATTAACAAAAGAAATACAAAAGAAACTAAGTACTACTCACAAAAACGCAGATATTTACAAAAAATAAAAAATAATCGAAAAATTTAAGGCGAGAAATATTGAAAGAGACTTCATTCCATATCGCACGAAAATAAAACATTTGAAAGGTCTTTATAAGAAGTACAAAAATGCTATGGCGACTTCTGCTGCAAGTCGAAAGCACCCACGTAAATTTTATGATCAGCTTGATGTATTCCTTAATGACAAGCCTTTAATGCTACGCCTTGAATTCTTTTAAAAGTATTGCACCATTTTTTTTCGCATTACCCACGATCTTTTGGCTGTTTTTTTCCGTTCTTTTGTTATTCCCGTAAAAGTATGCCCATTACAGTAATCTCTTCCATTTGTATTCGTTAAATATTGTTCTTATATCAAAGATTCAAAGATGATTTAGAAAAGTCGCTAAAATTTAATGTCAATCATGTAAAGTAGATGTAAACATAAATTTTAAATAAAGTATAGTTTCTGAAGTATGCACCCACAATACCCTGGAAGTAGACTAAAATACCTGCAACTCCATATCTATCCTTTTGAGTTTCTTATACTATGTTATCAAGCAAAAAATAATGCGGATAAAACTGTGAACACTCGTGTTTTTTCATTTTAAAACGAATCGAATTCGAATCAACTAATTCGATTAGAAAACGAATTAAGTGTGAATGGGCCCTAAATTTGCAGTATATAATACAATTACATGCTATGAAACAGGTGACAGAAACAGATTGTAAACACCTCGTGAATTGCATGTCAAATGGAGGGAGGAATCGGAGACTGCGGATGAATAGCCAATTTTAGAACTCACATAAAGTTTTACACTCATTTCAGTAAGTCATTTTCTCCTAAACTAATGTGAGTTTATGACATATCACTACATGAATATGACCACTCCCAATTATCGATCTCTACAGCGTACTATTTGTACAGCGGTAAATACAATGTTGTTACAAATTACAACCAGCAGTAACCATTGTGTACTTACCGCGTATGAATTTTACAAAGAGTGTATGGGCAACCATTTTATCAGAATCATAACAAAGTAAGCGACTACCAAGATAAAAGTAAAATATTACCAACAATGGCGCAAATAAAATACGTAAGATGGCCAATGACTTCTAAATAATACTCATCATAGTATCTGAAATAGTAGCGGCCGGAGGGGTGTAGTGAGGAAGTGAGGATGGGAGATTTGTGCTACGCCCCGATAATTTGAATCAGTCGGTAAAAGTTGACAATTATCATAGTATGAAATCAGAAAATCAGTACAACTGAAAGTGTAAACGAAGGACCATGTTGAATATCGAAAACGTTATGATGACCGGACTCATTTGAAGTTATTTTACTAATACATGCATAAATTTAAATTTTTTTGCCTGCTTGCTCCAGTATAAATAAAAGCTATTTGTGTTTTTGATTGGTACCACCCAACATTTATTTCGTGATACAACATTGTAACCGTAGATATCTCTTCGTACCCCTCGATTGGCTCCTCTCAAGTCTTGTATACTGGGTTTTACTGATTTTGCGCCAGCTGAAGGCAGTGTGACAATTGCTCCAAAATTCTTGGGCTGGTTGCCCTGGATAGAGTTATCCATTGGAAAGGAAATTTTAAACATGAAAAAAGGTGTTTAGATTTTCTTTAAGACAAAGAAATTTTGTGATTATAGAAGAAGTATTTCCTTTCAGTGTTTGCTCAGCTCAAATCGTGTATTTTTCCCTTTAAAGAGGTTTTCTAAACGTTTAAAAAAATTTTCTATACAGTGGATGGCGCTATTCGGCCTTCGTGCAACCGAAGTTCCTGTTTAGTACATGAAACCAATTAAATTGTCATGTTGAAATAAATCGTTATTTTAACCGCCTGAAGTGGTAAAAGCTGAGTGAAGAGGTATACAAGCCACGCACGACCTAGAGAGAAACATTTCACACCGAAAATTCAAACAAGCAAAATGAAAACATTCATTACTCAAAATTCACTTGCGTGTGCAGGGGGGGATATTTATATATTCATGCTCTGCCGTATCAAATTTTCTTAAAATCAATTGCTTTCTGCAAATATACATACATGAAATCCCCAATCATCGAGGCTAGCTCCCCCAATTATCAAGGCTAGCTACAAAACTGTTAAGATATAAATTACACGACTGTAATGCAACTTGTTTCGCGCTGCACAACAACTACCTCAATAATGGTGTGGTTCCGAGAAACACAGTTCTCTCGCAGTCACTGTATGTTTTTAAAGCAGATTTGATACAACATAAACACCATTGATATAAAGACTATCCTCGTTCAACCATCAGCAAAAAGGAAATATACGTTACACAGACTTTAACTGTTAGGAGGTTCTCCACCATTGCTTGGGAAAATGATTTCCTTCATAACCACAAAACCATTTGGAGCTCGAACTGGTTGGTTATCAAGAACTAATATAATGAAGAATCATAATACAATGTCAAAATTAAATATCATTTCATAACATGTGCCGGTTGCAGGAAGGCTGGATAGCGTTATCCATCGGATAGCAATTTTTTAAACTTTTATAAAACCTTTCAAAAAGCAAAAAATAGAAGATTCGAACTGAGCAATTATTGAAGTAAAATAATGTTTCGAAGATTACGAAATTAAAAATATAAACACCTTTTTTACATGTTTGAAAATTTTTGCTATCCAATGGATAACGCCATCCAGGCTTCGTGCAAACGGCCCCAGATGTGATAATAAAAGTGAAATCAACAGTTGAAAGCGAAAGTCATTTAAAATGCTGGTTGAACAAGTATGAGAATACTCGGCCCTGTGGCCTAATGGATAAGGCGCTTCCCTCCGGAGGAAGAGACTGTGGGTTCGAGTCCCATCAGGGTCGAATGTGCATACTGTCTATAGTTTTGATGGTAAATCCGACTTCAGAGGCTGCGTTAATCATGTGCGCATCCAACAAATTCGCGATATAACTTTAATAGAGAGGTCGAGTTTAGTTGTATACGTCAGTGGTCGAGTTCTTTTAGCCTGATTTTTATCAAATAACTCTCCACAGTCCACCAGACATGCGCTATCTTTTGGATAAATTACCATGATATTTTCTGCTGAAGGAAGCTTAGTTTGAACTTATAAGGACGTAAATAGGGATTAGAACGAAAGACCGCGTGTATTTTGCAATTCAAGTAATGTAATGGCTCACAAATGTCAAAATAATTTTCCTCGTGAATCGTCGTGAATGTATTAGCTATATATAATTAAGAATAGTTATTTCTGACTTTGCCAAGTAGATAACGTATTATTCTTTAAGTTTGGAAACGAAGAGACATAAAAAGGGTGGCTAGAAACAATAGCTTGAATTTAAGCATACAATATAATTACTGTACTTTCTATTCATCACGCGCTATCCATAGAATTAACATAAAATAACGTAATTTTTGAATGAGTATAGATAGCGCGGTACAGCGTGCAAAGTAAGATTAAATCACTCACATTATTAAGAACATTTTTCAAAAATCGTAATTAAATATATTACTTCAAGAGCAATATCAACAATGAGTATAAAACTATTCTGGTCAATTCATACAACATGGCGTCTATATACACCAGTATATACACTCGTATAGCGTAAATTTGATAAAGTTTTCATGGCAAAATCAAATAAACTAAAGGATGTACGATAAAGCCAATGGCTACGTCTAAACTCTTAAATATTATTGTTCATTTACATAGTACACATACAAACATAGTAATTCATTATTCGTAATTTATTGGTTAAAAATGTAAATTGACCAAACACAACTGCCTCCCACATAGAATTCAAATAAAACATTCAGTTTATTAAATACATTAAACAGCATGGTGTCGAGAACACGACTAAGTGTTAACGCGTTAATATTATTTTGAGTTTAGATACTTCACCCCTTACAGAGTTCAAGATTTTTTTCGTTAATCTTGTTTGTCATATGGCTATCGCCAGCGAATTTAAATATAAAAGCTTACAACTTTACACAGCACCAAAAATACGGTGTTTTCTAGTTGGTAAACACCTCTATTCGTGATGCTCGCTGTTTTTCTAAATCGCGATCATTCAATTCGCCACCAGGATCGCTACTACGCGTTTTTGAATTTTTTCTCGAAAATCTCGACCTTATGCTTGAGTAGACACGACTTGCGGAGCCCTGTCTGCGAGCAATGGGAGCATCGCGGAAGCTACGATATTTGGAAGAGGTTCGATTTAAATACGCTTCGTTCGCACGTCTGGCTTCTTCTGAGTGATATAAAATGGGATCAGTTCTCGTTAAAGTGCAGTTGTTATACAAACGGCATTCGAGTATGTCTTCTAAAAGTCTCTTCGCAGATTTCTCTCCGTATAGCCCAGAAAATTTAAATTTGCATTTACCAGAAGCGGACGTCAACATGAGTTTGTTCTTGTAACATATGACCGCGAGCCCTCGAAAGGAAAAATGTCTCTTCATGAAATCCGGCTCGTCGAGACGATTTAGGTTGTAGATATGCACGCCATCCTGCGATGTCGCGATTTCCACACGAGTTTTATCGCTGCAGTCTTTCGCGCGATGTTTCATCGTGTTGAAACGAGCGATGGTCGCTGCGATGCCCAACAGCGCAAGCCATGATTCTTTCTTGGTCATACCACTGTGATCTTTATGTCTTCGTACAACGTCATCTTCATATGACCGAGCGTTGACCGTGCCTTCACTGCAGTTTACACCGCTAGGATGTTCGAACAAAAAGCCCAAATAGTCCTCGAGATAGCCCGGTGTATGTGATTTGGCATTATAGTCCCCGATAATGGCTTGAGCAAAATAAGAGTCGATCGCTGCATGTTGGGAGGGTGTGCACATAAAAATACCACGATTAATGTCACTCTTAATTTGATAACAGCATAACCTAACGCAATGATCAGAAATCGTATTGTTTGCCTCAGGATAAATGCGAACAGCCATCTGAAGTTGATAAGGCCTTTTAGAAAAATGTCTCTTGACTGACTCGGATAATAGTAGCCAGTTCATTTGCCCGTCCAAATCGGGATATTTTAAGCCGAAGTATTTCAATTCATCTTTCGATAGATTTAGACGTTCGCCAATACGTCTTAATATATCGACTCCGGTCATTGAACGCTCTTCATCGAACTTCTCTTGTAGGCAAGTGTTATCCATTAATACAACCCTTACTTCTTGAATAACTGTCTGCTTTCGTCTGAATGACGAACGAATAGTCCGTCCGCGAGCGGACATTTTAACTAACAGATTAAAGAAAGAGTATTGCCGACCACTTTCGATCTTGGCAAGCTTGCAGTTCAACAAAACACAAAGATCTGTTTGCCTAAGTTCTTCATTCCTTAAATGGTTTCAATTTAAGATTTTCCCGAACATTAAAGCGAATACAATGTGTAAATATATTCACGATATATGCGTGAAAATTTATCAAATGTATGCACTGATCGCCTCACATATCATAAATTGCAACAATTTCCGGTGACGTCAAGCGACTGTAATAAATGTCTTTTACGTTTGTATGTATTACTTCAGCTAATGTTCGCGTGCATCAACATCAACCACTGTCATCAATACAGCTCTTTGAGGGCCACTTTATGCGTCAGTTAATGATTAATAATTTGTTTCGGACATATGTAATGGCAGTAAACGCACTTTTAATTTATAATATAGTGTCATGAAACTCGGGACATTTGTACGATCTTGTATTATTTGTTTTAACGTCCATCCTACAACCGGTTTTAACAGGTCGACAAACGACCGGTAGTCGTTTGTCAACACATTTCCTCGTAAAAGTATAAAGTTTCCCAATTTTTCCTTGGGTGTACTTTGATCTCAGGAGCGACATCCTGTCATCGACATTTATTGTACAAATGCTAAAAATATACAGGGTGGTGCATAAAAAAAAAGTACATCATTAGAAATTAAATTATTGTTGAAATTTCAATGCCTGATCACTAGGCACGTTTAAGTGGTATACCAAAGAACAAAAGTGCATCTTTAGAAATTAAATTATTGCTGAAATTTCAATGCCTGATAACTGACAATGTACGCCCCCGTGGGCCTAACCTAGTGATGGGGGATTGAAATTTTAACAATAAGTTCAGCGGTAATGATGAGAAGCAATTTTCGCTTGGGGAAGGCACAACCCTGCATCATAGGTGGTAGAGGGCTACAGTTATACATAGTAAATATAAAAAAGACACAACTTTCACAACTGTATATATATATATATATATATGTCAAACTGTATCAATTAATGTAATTTTACATTTGTTGTCAAGTGAGGAGTAAAAATCAGGCTTGCCAATGAAGATGACTGTCGCTAAGGTTGTCGAAACGTTAGACACCATCAACAACACCAACAGTCCTTCTCAGTACTCTACTAACCCTATACTACAACTACAAACATGTAACGATGCTCCCGATAGGAGAAATACAACTATTGATTTGTGTAAATAAGGAACACGTTCATCTATATAGCGTCAACTTTTGTATGTAACTATTTTTATTCGACACATTAAAGGGAACATGCCAACTTTTCGACACATGTATTTTTCACTAGAAGATTGTCAAATTTCTCTAGTTTACATATCGAAAGTTTTCATATCGAAAGTATCACATAAACGGTGCTTAAACGAGGCTTGAAATATAATAGCTACAAAAATAATACAATTTTACAAAAAGTTACACTTTTGCACAACACTGATAAAGAATTTCTGACAAATAGAAAGTAACACCTATAGGGAAATGGAGTGGGAACGATAAAACGTATTCAACTTGCGGCTCAATTCCGTACTGGCCATTTGCCTTTTCTAAAATAAATTACAACAGCCAATCAGTTGGCAAGATTTTATTCTTCGAAAATTCATAACCAATTGAATTGTTTCAAGGCATTTTGAATTAAAAAAGAGCGGCTATATTAAGAAAGAGCGGCTATATTTCTTTTGCTCAACCCAGGTCTGTTACTGAAGTACAAAATTGCAGCAAATGGCACTCAATTCAAGTACTGAATTCTATCAAATACAATTATCATTCAATTATAATTCAAAGGGGGGATATGAACAATGCAATTTTTAGGGAGTAAACTTGCAGTGCCCCCCCCCTTGAGGGAGCACCTAAGTTTATTTAATTAACAATTCGTTAATTAAAGGATGTTGCTACTTCAAACATTTGGCAGAAAAGTCTGTTTCATCAATAAATTTGAATTTGAATTTGAAATTAACACTGTATACTCAATATTATTTTCGATTCAAGTATATTAGTACGCCGAAGACAAACAAAACAATCGTACTCAATTCTGGACCACTGACTGAAATACAATTTAGATATTGCAGTCATAGCACGATGCAATTTGATGTGAATTAAAAAATCAATTGTAAACTTATATAGCGAACGCAAATAAACCCACCAGGCAATTAACTGTCAAGAGAGGACAACAGTCACAAAATGATAAAGAATTACTGTTACGACTATTAACTAACTCGTACAGATGTTATTGAATGTTTGAAAATGGGAAATTATTGGCAAGTAGCAATGCTATTGGTCGTCAATTAATAGTGCACTACATACAAGGAAATAACAGGAAATATTTTTTCAGCTGCACGACCAGATTATACAATTTAGTATACAAATAGAAAAAGCTATCAGACTACTGGCAAAAGCATGAGAAATGACAAATTATGCAAAGAACTGATGCATATATAATCATGTGACGCGCGTGACTCTTCACTTTTAATTTAAAATATTGGCTTTAGCTGAGTGTTTTTATACCGTAATCAGAAGTAAACAACAAGTTTCTCACTGATCTGCTTTTGTTAGATTTTTGAAATTTCCACTGTTTTGTCATTTTTCACTGAAAAGAAACAACCTTTATCGGTGAGAAATTAAATGACAAAGTGTACAATGCAATTTTTTTAAAATCATCTCCATTGTCCGGTCGTTTTATAGTTGTGAATGAATATACTGATAGAGATCAATTATATAGCTGTAAAACGAACAGGTTGCTGAAAGAAAATTGTTGGAAAAAACAGAAGATTGTTTCATTTGTTTGATTTGTCTCATTTGGCGGCATCAGTCCTCAATTTTACGTATATTAATAATGTTTTGACTCATGATTACACAGCTTGAGACAATTTTTTTCTGTTTTCTATTTCGATTCTCATCAACGATAGAGGTTTTCTGATGTATCTCTATTTATAGCTAATAGCTACTCGGCTTTACAAAACTATATTGCTATTTCGTGTTCAGAAGACAGCTATTGCGGACATTATTTCACGCTCGATAATTGCTTCTCTAATGATTTACAAGAGAATATTGATAAAATATTGACAGCATGTATATTAACAAATGATTCGTAGCATAAGATCTCATATTAAAAATGACAATGATTGCATTATGAAGAAGAAATGCGTTGGGCTCTCTAAATATTGCACCTCATCTTGTGCTGTGTTTCAAAATTTAAGAGTTACACTTGGCTTTTCGTTTAATCCGACATTCGTGAAAAAAATCGGAGAGTGGCAGAAAAAACAAAAATGATTTTTTTTCTCTGTATTTATTAGCACATATATCGCGTCTTATTTTTGCTTGTGCTGCGGGAATCGAGGAGCGCAAGACGTTACTTCCAAGTGTCTGTCTGTGGAGATAATTATTTTTGTTAAGGACTCATTGTTTTCACTTATTTTTCGCGCATATATTGGTTTACGACTTCGCGCAGTGTTTGTTTTACACAATTGAACGGAAGGCGAACGCAATATCGTAGCACTTCAATGACCTATCTTTGCACACAATCAAAATGACGTCGATGTTATTCTCAAACTACGTCGCCTCTCAACATCGTTTCGCTTATTTGGTTCAAGCTTGATGTGCGTCGTCGTGCGTATGGTGTTTTGACTGGAGCAAAGTCAGGAAGCCTTACAACTTTGAAGACGTCGAGCGTTACCAGTCTTTTCCAAAATCATGTGGCGATTTTGTTTGATTTTCCTGATCACAGAGCAATGTGTGCTGGTTCGGGTGCTCAGCTCAACGAAATTCAATAATAGTCCTTGTGAGCCGAAGAAAGCCAAAAACGTTGATGGCGCGGATGTTGTCATTGGTGGACTTATACCGGTGCACGTTAAAGAAAAGCTGAATCAGCCTGGCCTGATTTGGGCTGAAGCAATGATGTTTGCCATTGACGAGATTAATAAAAAACGCGATTTGCTTGGGGACATTAAATTGGGCTACGACATTCGCGACTCGTGTAACGACGCACATCTTGCTTTACATAGCGCGCTCGATTTTGTGCTAACACCAAGAGCTGATGCTTCATACGAAAAGAAATTAAGCAACGGGACGAGTTGTTTATGCAATAAAAACGCCGATCACGACAGCATGCCTCCCGTAGTCGCTGTAGTTGGCGGTGCTACATCGGGGATATCGACAACAGTCTCAACTGTACTGTCAGCAGATAACATTCCTCAAATTAGCTACTCGTCTACGAGTCCTAGTTTGAGCGATAAGACAAAATATCGAAACTTCATGAGAACGATACCATCCGATGTGTATCAAGCGGAGGCTATAGCGGATATCTTGGTGAAATTCAACTGGACGTTCGTTTCAATTGTGGTTTCGGAAGAAGAGTACGGTCGCAACGGATTGATAGCACTGAGAAAAACTCTCAAAGAAAAGAACGTGTGCGTTGCTGTCGAGGCTTCGTTCTCTACAAACAGTTATGAAATCGAAAAAGACGTTGATGTCATCATTAGACAATTACAAAAAGACACCAGACAACGCGTTGTGGTACTATGGTGTGCACGGCCCGCTGCAGTGCAATTTTTCAATATTGCGACGGGCAGGTTGTTTAATATCACATGGATAGGGACGGAATCGTGGGGAGACAGCAAATATGTAAGAGATGAAGTTAATTTTGATCTTATAGGAGGAATGCTCGGAATCGTGCCCTATCTTGCTCATTATGGGAAATTCGAGGAGCACCTGAGAAGCCTTACACCGAGAAGCCGTTCAAAAAATCCATGGATAAATGAGTACTGGAAGTCGCTTACTAATAACAAATGTGCTCAAATGCCACATGACTGCTCAGAGGACAAACTACCGAACGCCATGTCTTTACCTCTGAATAAATACACATATGTCATCGACGCTGTGTATGCGATTGCACATGGAATACAGAGCTTGAAACGATCACATCGAAATCTGAATGTTTCGCGACTGAACAAGCGCATGCTTATGAAACTAATAAATCAAATAAAGACTGCAAATTTTAAGGCTTTCTCTGCTGATGGCAACTTCAATTTCACTGATAAAGGCGACCCCCACTACGGAGCGTATTCAATAAGGAACCTGCAGGGTAATCGTACGCACAAAAAGTTCGTGACCATCGCACAATGGAGCGGGGAAACATCGAAATTGGAGTTTGATGACACCGTGAAGATTCAATGGAATGAGAGAAAGGGCGTTCCTCGCTCAAAATGTGCAGACGAATGTCAGCCAGGATTTGGTTTTGTCGCATCCGACAGAAAATGCTGTTGGTCATGTCCGAAATGTCAGGCTGGATATTACAAGCCAAAGAAAGGTAAGAATAGATAGCGATACGAAAAACGTGAACTTGCATGGGTGTCTCGTCTTGCCAGAATTTCTTGAGGACTTGCGTGTTTTGTCCTCCAAGAATTTCTTGTAGACTTGTGTGTTTTGTTCTCCAAGAATTTCTTGAGGACTTGTGTGTTTTGTTCTCCAAGAATTTCTTGATGACTTGTGTGTTTTGTTCTCCAAGAATTTCTTGTGGACTTGTGTGTTTTGTCCTCCAAGAATTTCTTGACGACTTGTGTGTTTTGTCCTCCAAGAATTTCTTGAGGACTTGTGTGTTTTGTTCTCCAAGAATTTCTTGTGGACTTGTGTGTTTTGTCCTCCAAGAATTTCTTGACGACTTGTGTGTTTTGTCCTCCAAGAATTTCTTGAGGACTTGTGTGTTTTGTTCTCCAAGAATTTCTTGTGGACTTGTGTGTTTTGTCCTCCAAGAATTTCTTGTAGACTTGTGTGTTTTGTCCTCCAAGAATTTCTTGAGGACTTGTGTGTTTTGTTCTCCAAGAATTTCTTGTGGACTTGTGTGTTTTGTCCTCCAAGAATTTCTTGACGACTTGTGTGTTTTGTTCTCCAAGAATTTCTTGTGGACTTATGTGTTTTGTCCTCCAAGAATTTCTTGTAGACTTGTGTGTTTTGTCTTCCAAGAATTTCTTGACGACTTGTGTGTTTTGTCCTCCAAGAATTTCTTGAGGACTTGTGCGTTTTGTCTTGCCAGAATTTCTTGGACTTGTGTGTTTTGTCTTGCCAGAATATCTTGAGGACTTGTGTGTTTTGTCTTGCCAGAATATCTTGAGGACTTGTGTGTTTTGTCTTGCCAGAATATCTTGAGGACTTGTGTGTTTTGTCTTGCCAGAATATCTTGAGGACTTGTACGTGTGTGTGTTTTTTTAGCGAGAATTTCTTGTCGACTTGTGTATGTGTGTTTTTTTGGCGAGAATTTCTTGTCGACTTGTGTATGTGTGTTTTTTTAGCGAGAATTTCTTGTCGACTTGTGTATGTGTGTTTTTTTGGCGAGAATTTGTTATCGATTTGCCTTGTAAGAATTTCTTGTCCCTTTGTCGTTTTTTTTGTCTTGTAAGAATTTGTTGTCGACTTGTGTGTTGTCTTGCAAGAATTTCTTCTTAACGTGTGAGTTAGGTCTATGCGAAAAACAGGAAATATTGGCGACAAGATTCCGTTCGAAAATGGAGAAGTGTTTTTAAATTGAAAAACAAAGAGATGGTGTCGGCCGTCCTAAAACAAAGACTATTACCAATAACTTCCATGGTAACAAGATTCTCGAGTAAAAAAACGCCTGTGCATGGTGACCATGCACAAAACACGCTTAAATACACTACGCAAAGTTGTTGCATTTTGAAAAACTGAGCAAATGCATGACTGTCGTTTCATTGTATTTTGTTTATAAATAATGCCTATAAATGATATAACACTGTTGGTCGTATCTTAGAGAAACAATTATTTTGGTATCTTGTATCTACTGTAGAACATAAGACAATAGCTGCATATATAACTTTCAATTCATAAAAAGCCAACAGCGGTTTTATTTAACTTGCAGGTAACGTAGAGTGCAAAGCGTGCGATGACGGTTTCATGTCCAACGACGCTAGAACTCATTGTATCAAAGTGACCGAGGACTATCTAAGATGGAATTCGCCATTGTCTATCTTCGTGATGGTTTCATGTTTTATTGGACTTGTGATTATCGTGTTTACGCTTGCCGTCTTTCGACATTACTCCACTACCGCCGTCGTAAAGGCATCAAATCGCGAGGTCTCCATATTCCACCTCACTTGTCACGGTTTGCTCTTCTTGCTTCCATTCCTTTACATAGGTCGACCAAACGCACCAACTTGCGCAATGCGGTTATTATTATTCCCAGTTCTCTTTACGTTCATCACGGCCATCATGTTCCTGAAGACTGATCGCATCGTCCGGATCTTCAACTCGAAAGCGAGGCTAAGCAAACGCAGTCGGCTACTTAGCAATAAAGTCCAATTCGTCCTAACTCTTGTTTTAACATCGATACCTCTTATTGGGACTTGTATTTGGATTATCCTTCGACCGTTGAGAATCGATAAAGAAGCAATAGGCGATGTCTTTGTGGTCTATTGTGAGAACGAGGAATCCTGTCAGATCGTGCAACTTTCCTACATCCTACTTCTTGCTCTGCTCTGCACTTTCGAAGCGTTTCATGCTCGAAAACTTCCAGAGAGTTTCAACGAAGCAAAATTCATCTGTTTCTCTATGTTTGCGTTCGTTCTCTTGTGGATGGGATACATACCAGTTTTTATCGATCAGAACGGTTCCACAAAACAGTTCCTAACTTGCCTCTTCATAATACTGATCAATCTGCTTTCGGCGTTGCTCATCTACTTTCCCAAGTTAAACATCATCCTTTTCCACCCGGAGAGCAATCGCCATCAATCGTTTAAGAAAACGAGCCAGAGTTCCGGCTTGAAAGATGCGCAACAACTATCGCCGAAGAGTACACCGAGCACGAGCCGAGAGCAAAAGACTTCTCTGGAAATGAGCGAAGACCAGAAGACAAACAGCATGCCAGATAAGAAAATTCACAATTTTATCTTTGGCAGCAACGAACAGCTGGTCGCTCATCATCTCGGTCTGCCAGATGCTAAGCGGTCCAGCATCCCGTACTCGAAGGAGATGGATAATGTATTTATTACAAACCCCGCAACCAGTTTTTAAAAATACAGCGCTTATCGTGCACAACTCGCACGATGGCAGGAGATGAAATAGTTTAGTCGTATTTTAAAGTTCATCTATTCATTAAATCTGTAGAACTCAAAGATAAATAAGCTCCAGGCGTGAGATGTTTTCTCATATCGAAATAAATATGGATGCTAATTTTATATACATAGGAGAACGAGCAAAGTTCGAATTGATTGAATTTCAATAATCGACTAGACGCGTGTAAATTCATACGTTGAAAGAAACTGTGTAAAGTCTTTTTTTGTAATCATGTGATTTTTTGAAAGTTTATGGAATAAGACGAACAAATTATTTGATGCATTTGCAGGAGATGCCTATATTCACAATACATGCATTAAATATGCATGCACTGCTCATTAAAATTAGCAATTTCTTTTCAATTTGGCAAGAGAGCTTGAAAATACCCCTTATGTTTTTGTTCAGCTTGCGCCTAATCTGACGACAAATCGAAGAATGATGAGACATTCTAAACATTGCAATTAACTCCCCGGGTATTTCTTGCCACTTTTCAAATGGGAGATTATAAAAAGGAGAGTGGGGTAAAAAAAGGCTGGGTGCTAGAAAAACAACATAAGTAAAGTTTGTATGGTCATCGTACATTTAGTCAGTAGTAGTGCAAAATATCGGGGGGGGGGATGAATAGGGGATAGTGATAATTTTTTCTACCTGTCAAGTGGGGATTATCAAGAAGAAATGCGGCCTGAAACAAGGCTGGGAGCTAAATGGAGTGAACTCGGTAAATCTTTTTGTTCATGAAGGCAATCATTGAGCAAAAGTCAGCTCGCATAAAAAACGCGAATTCTCATGTTCGTGAGCCAATAATTTAAAAAATAGAACGTTACCTGTTTTTGCTGCATAAACTTCATGTTATTGTTATCAATGGAACAGTAATCCTTTCGAGTGAAGCCTTGCGGTTCTTTCGTGCCGGTCTTCTAAGCCGGTCCATTTTATTTCCTCTAACTGCGCCTAAATAGAATGTTCACAAAAGAAACGTTGTCGCCATCTGAAAACGAAGCTCCTGATCATTATCGACATATATGAATGGAAGTTAGCGTTTGTAGGTATATCATGCACAATACTCAAAAACCTTTTCATTTCGTAATTTTTCTTGCTGCCGAATTGTGCGTCGTTTATTTGAGGTTGACGACTGACGGTTTGTTGATTCACGCTCTATATGAACAATATTGAACATCATAAAAGTTACTTGTACTCTACTATACATTCTACTACATTTTATTATTCTCCTTTATACTTTATTACTCTCTACTATACTCTAGTATTCTTTCCTACGCTATATGAACAATATTGAACATCATAAAAGTTTACTCTACTCTACTATACATTCTACTACATTTTTATTATTCTATTATTCTCCTATACTTTATTACTCTCTACTATACTCTAGTATTCTTTACTACGCTATATGAACAATATTAAACATCATAAAAGTTACTTGTACTCTACTATACATTCTACTACATTTTATTATTCTCCTTTATACTTTATTACTCTCTACTATACTCTAGTATTCTTTACTACGCTATATGAACAATATTAAACATCATAAAAGTTACTTGTACTCTACTATACATTCTACTACATTTTATTATTCTCCTTTATACTTTATTACTCTCTACTATACTCTAGTATTCTTTACTACGCTATATGAACAATATTAAACATCATAAAAGTTACTTGTACTCTACTATACATTCTACTACATTTTATTATTCTCCTTTATACTTTATTACTCTCTACTATACTCTAGTATTCTTTACTACTATATGAACAATATTAAACATCATAAAAGTTACTTGTACTCTACTATACATTCTACTACATTTTATTATTCTCCTTTATACTTTATTACTCTCTACTATACTCTAGTATTCTTTACTACGCTATATGAACAATATTAAACATCATAAAAGTTACTTGTACTCTACTATACATTCTACTACATTTTATTATTCTCCTTTATACTTTATTACTCTCTACTATACTCTAGTATTCTTTACTACGCTATATGAACAATATTAAACATCATAAAAGTTACTTGTACTCTACTATACATTCCACTACATTTTATTATTCTCCTTTATACTTTATTACTCTCTACTATACTCTAGTATTCTTTACTACGCTATATGAACAATATTAAACATCATAAAAGTTACTTGTACTCTACTATACATTCTGCTACATTTATTATTCTCCTTTATACTTTATTACTCTCTACTATACTCTAGTATTCTTTACTAGGCTATATGAACAATATTAAACATCATAAAAGTTACTTGTACTCTACTATACATTATACTACATTTTATTATTCTCCTTTATACTTTATTACTCTCTACTATACTCTATTCTTTCCTACGCTATATTACTCCACATTACTCTTCGCTAATATACCTTTTTTATTACACTCTATTATACAATACCTTGTTACATTATTATTTACACTACTTTCCTTCCTTACGAAACAAAAGATATTTACTGTGATTGCACAAGCTTATGCAAACATCTTTTATTTTTTTGTTGTAAAATAACAATAATGCGAAACAGACAATCTTAAAACAAACTTTTTATTCTTTCTCTAAAACGTATTAAATAAATGATTGATTTCAAATCTGTTTTGCACAGGCTAATGCAAACACAGTTTCATTGTGTTTATTTCATAATATCCTCTATTATACCTAAGTATACTCTGAAATACTACTTTATTATCATCACCAACAAATTACCCGTACATGAAAGAACTAAATGCAAGAGAGTGAAGATATAGAATAACATTCACCTGCCCTTCTCTCCTCTAACTTTTGCCTCAAATCTTCCACCTGTGAGTTGTATGCTTTTTGTTTTGAGGCTTTCGTCTTTTCTTCAAATCTAACAAGCAGCATTAAAATTTACTGGATACATCAACTTCAATAGAACTTGTATATAATAGTTGCTTGTAGAAGGCGATAGATCGCCGATAGTTGCTTGTAGATGGCGATCGTTAAGGTCAGTGAGCTTCCTGAGGAGAATTGTTTATGTTGATATTGACTGACGTATTGACATGCTTAGCGGTAGTCATCTTCGATCAAGAAATAAAAGATGTTTGCTGTGTTTGCGCAAACCTAGGCAAATAAGGAGATCTTTGGGAGAACTCAAGAGCAGATCAGTGCAAGCCCGAGGCCGAAGGTTGAGAGTTGCCCCTTCTCGAGAGTTTTCGCAAACGTCTTCGAAGTTTGCATAAGCCTGTGCAACACACAAAAAACATATTTTATTTCTTTTATAAAAAAAAAATAATGCGAAACAGACAAATTTAAAACAAACGTTAAAATGTTTCTTTTACTTCATGGTTGATTTGCATATTCTCATTGATTGATTGATTGATTGATTGATTGATTGATTTAATTAGTTTAGCTCAGATCGGTTTGCGTAGGCTAATGGCGCAAACACGTGTTTTAAGTCAAGTGAGGCCATGAAAGTCTTCACCAGCCATGACTATGAAGATGACTACCGCTAAAGATTTCGAAAAGTCAACATCAACACCAACATCAACAGTCCCTCTGAGGACTCCACTAAACTCAACGATCCACGTCCAGAAACATGTAACAATACTCGTGTGTTCATACCGTTTACTTTATCGGTAAAGCCACATAAGTCACTAATACTAATAGTTTTCGAGTACGAGCATCACATTCTTAACTCTCGCTGAATGCACGCTCAATTTGAAGACTAATGTGTTGAATTAAAATTTCACTTGAACAAAGAACTGGCATGTTTATGCATGGCCATGTGAAAGTATAGAAAAAATTGTTTAGAACTGTCCCCCACATACCTTTGACGTGTAAGATTCTCCTGTTCCTCTCTGCCTTTCGATATCTTCTCCAAGGTTTGCATCAACATTTCATCTTTTTCCTATAAGGCAAAACAACTTCGATAATTACATTGCTGCTGGAGCTTTTGAGGAAACATCATTAAATCTCATCAACAGGCATGTGTTCAAAATTTGGTGTTTGCCGGCAGGTACGATATTCATTCATATGGAAAATGTGTGTGATACATTTTCGGAAACACATACGAGCTCGCCTACAAATGAATTTTCGAATTTCAATGAAATTTCAATAAACGAAGAACTTGCCACTTTAGACTTTAAGATGTCGTCGCGTTTCTTATCCAACTCTTTCTTCTCGGCAGTTTTTAATAAAATCAATCTTTCTCTCAACTAATAAAAAAAAAGATTGCATGATTTATACAGTGTAATTAATTTTTTTATTATACGAGTATTGAAATTTATGCGCGACAAAACGGTGAAATAAAAATAATATGCCTAAAATTTCCGAGCATCTGAATGGCCATACCATTTTCTTCACTAATGAAAAAGGTCCGGATATGCACTCTAATTGGACATTTGATATTTCTCGCCAAAAGTGAAAAAATGCACATTAAGTTTTATCGCCAATGGTGAACAGCATTAAAATTAAAGAAAACAAAAACAATTTTTCCTGACTTCATTTATCAATGGCTTTGCAATTTGCCGAGACACAATCCGTAAGCGAATCCAATATAAATGTAAGGAAAATGACAAAAAAAAAAACATTCGATTTCTTCAGTAATTTTCATCGTCGAAACTTTCCGAAGCATGGAAAATATTCTCGTCAAGCAACTTAATAAAGATGTAAGCGAGTTTATTACGCTTCCGTTCGAAAGAAAAAAGATAACGTAAAATACAAACTTAGTTCCTTCGTAAGAAAAATGTGAAAATAGGAAACAATGTTTTTATTGATGAATTGAAATCATATACGTCAACCAGAGTTTCTATCTCCCTTAGCATGACCAAAACTATAGTAATGATATATTAGTGTAACGTTCTGGTAATCGAGATACTTAAATTGCACTACGATCGTCGCATTTCAATTGAAAATATAATGATAAACTGAAATCTAGTGATCATCGATTAAAGTGAAGTGGACGTATTTAACATATTTTAATGAAGAGCCTATGAAAAATGGGCCAAACTAAACAAACTACCGATGAACTAACTTGTGCATAAGATTTTCACTGGAAGGCTAACTTGGTACGCTAACAATTACAGCTTTGTAGCTTGCAACTTCAACAAAAGGCAGGTGATACAGTTTTGGCCGTGAAAAATTAAAAACAATTATTTCGGTTTTAAAGTACAAAATCTGTTCAGTTAGTTCTCAATTTATGTAATGAATTAATTCGTAATATTAAATGTCATCGACTCTTTTCGGAACTATTTTTAACTCCATTCACAAACGATAGAATACACACCTCAGCAATTGACATCTCATTCAAAAGACCCGCACCTGATGTTTCGGTAAGGTCAACGTACTGTGAACAAAGTAGTTAAAGTTAGATGAGCTCAACACTCACTTAAAATTGTAGTATCAACGGAGAAATGAAAAATATTAGACAAACAACACTATGGCCTTTATAAAGTAATGAAAGTCGGATGACTTTAACACAGTGAAAGTTGTTCTATCAACAGGGAATGAAAAACAGTAGACAAACAGCATAACGACTCCAATTATTTACCTTGAATCGTAAGACAGGAACACTCTCAATTGCCCTTATTTTGGCGATTAATAAAACTTTCTGGCGCATTTCTTCTTCCGCCTATAATTAAAATGACAATACTCGCACAATCCATAAATTAAAGTCCGCACAGGCAAAGACACTCTGACCGAAACACAAAACAATTGACATAGCTAGACCGTAAATAGTAAATATTTCATTCTAAACGTTTTGAAAAGTATTGTATATATACGTGTCGTCATCAGGGACAATGAAGATTTTCAAAATTACATTTTTTATAAGATCGTAATAGTGAAAGAAAAAAAGTTTACTTTTTATTGTTTTTCAAGCAAAGGACGTTTTCCTAAAGAAGTTTTCTGGCCAACTGCCCTGTTCATAAATGTAATGAACAGTGTTTCCTCGTGATTGATTCAATTTAATTAATCTCGTAACTTTTTTAATTTAGATATTCAAAGTCTGATATGGTTACCGCAGTAACTAGCAGCCAATTACAGCGAACCATTACTGAGAATAAAATAAAAAAATTAAAAACACTTATAGTATACAGCAACATTGTTTATTTCGACACAATCCCCTGTTCGCCGGACTACCGGAGGCTGGAGTTAGGCCGATCACAACATTGTTATATCAACAAACGATAGCAATCGACCAAAATGAAAAAACTTGCATACATAGATACAAAACATTTTATGCATGACAGTGATGACACATTCTAACTTATGAGTGAAAGTTCAAGTGTGAAAATTTTACTTCATACATCTAAAGAAGTTTTACTTTTTCATGTGTTTCATTGTTTTGCCCAGTGAACTATAATAACAACTGGAACGATAACTCCTACAGCTTTTCCCATGGTTGTTTGAAGCCAAACTCCCCCCTGATATAATGCGTGTTTTCTTGGCGACCGACGTTTGGTTTGGCTTGTTGGCAGTTGAAAACAGTGAAAAAATTATTTGTTTTCGTTTTTTTGACAAATTTTGTGCTTTAAAATTGCATCTACCGTAATTAGCGTATGTCTCAGCAAGATATTTCGAGAAGAAACATAATCGGCAAGAATCGTGGACGATTGTTTTTAACAATACGTTATAGCAAGTTTATCGGCACGTTATATGCAATGTGTTCATTTCCTTTTCTCTCTTTGTATGCTTTACACGGACAGCACAAGAGTAGGGTGTTATGTATTTGAAAAATAAAACTGGATTTTTACATATTTAAATCGATAAAATAGTATTTCAAGAATCCTTTTGGGAGGATCTTGCACTTTTCTTTATGACACTGAGCTGTATATATATATGCAGATGTAGATATCTTCATGGTATTAGAAATGCTCTTAATACATTTTTCTACTTTGCAAATTGCTCAATTTTTACGAAACTTGGTAAGATTGTGTATTTAACATGGAACTACAATATCTTGGTGGATAGAACGTTTAGGTATGCCTGAAAAACGCAGAAAAAGCAACAAAAAATCGCGCGGACTTTTGGTAATTTTTGTCTTTGCTTTAAAATTTTCAGCAATACTATAAGTTTTGGCCGATTTTTTTTTGACATTCTGCCAGTTTGACTAATATTCTTCAAATACAATAGTATTTTGAAAAGTAAATGCAAGGTTTACCTGCAAGCTGGCATCATGCTGGCTTCAAAGATGGCGGCAAAGTTATCATTCCAGTTGATATTATAGTTCACTGGTTTTGCCTCCTGACTGTTTTCTTTATTTAAAACAAAATGAGCCGAATAACATCCTTAATTATCTAAAAATACATCTTAAACAGTAACATGTCAATTGGACCAGCTGCAAGCAGATACTGATTCAAGTTATAAAATAGCCGAAGCCGGAGTTTGAAGCCGAAGTTCGGAATTGTCAAGAGGCTGGAGCCGGAGCTGAAAAACCGGAGTTTGCACAGAACTATCCCCTGTATTTTAAAAGCTCACCGACATTTACAAACACTTGTAGAGTGCGACACAAAAATCTCACTGCCACTAATCAAACGGCACACTTTTTTTGCGCATTTAACGTAGACCACAATTTTTGAAAATAGACATGTTTCGGTATCTCATGATGCCATCTTCAGCACAAGTGTATAATTACATAAATAATACAAGGTTTATACAAGGTTTAAGATTTTTGCTGAAATATTTCATACCAAGCAATCAATGGTGTGAAAAATACCGTTTCCAATAATGATGAGGTGATTTTGACGCACCACTCAGTGAGTGTGAATGAGCTTTTAGAATACAAGCGTAAAAGTTTAATGGCGAGAAGAGTCGTTGGGCGCAAGCGCAATACATCGCAACCACCCGCCAAAAAACTATAGACTCAAAGAGCTCAGTTCAATATGTTTCTACATTATTATGACAAACCTCTTCCAAAACTTTCTTCATAATCTCTCGAGTCTCTTTATTCACTTCCTGAACTGAAAAAGCATAAAAGGATTTCAGGGAAATCGTTGTACACGAGAAGATATCTTTTCACTTCCTGAACTGAAAAAACATAAAAGGATTTCAGGGAAATCGTTGTACACGAGAAGATCTCTATTCACTTTCTGAACTGCAAAACGATTTTATGATTTAAGAAATATTGATGTACATAAGACGGTTGAATGGACATTTTTGTGAGCACATGACGACATACGTTATTCGCATATCTTGCCTTTTACTATTTCAAATCACCTTATTGTTTTTAATCAGAAAGTACGTAGTAGCTCACTACCTAGTTTCTGTTTGTATAACTGGAGACGTTTTCTGGCTTCCTTGGCGTTCTGATGACCTTGCATCGTTTCTTCCACCAACCGTCTGTAAATGTTAAATATACATTTCGCATTACAATCAAACAAGTTGAATATTTACGGAGTTCGCGCTTTATTTAAAGTGCATATAACATGGATTTTTCATTGTCTTAGATAAAAGATCTCTTAAATCTGTAAAGGACTTTCTTTTCAAAATCAATGTTTGCATGTTTATTTCTTGAACTGTTGAAGTTTTTGTTTGATGTAAATTAGATCATTCATGGTCAGTCGTTTCTAAATTACATAATGTTGAAATTACATGTTTTATTTCGTTGTTATCATGCCATGTTACCGTTCTGCTTGTGCTTTATAACAGGTTTACCATTGATATGAAAACTGCTCACCTACCTGCTATATGAAGCAAAATAATTTAATTTTGGCAAAGATTAAAAGGCAAATACAATACTAAAAATTTCTATATCTCATAAACATTAATAATAAAATGAAAGTTTACTACCGTTTACGGAGATGTTTCATTCAAGACAATGAAAAATTCGCGTTGTATACACTTTAAGAACGAAATTCTTATCAAATATATACAACATACCGCATATAATTACGTCTAAAATGCTTTCACTTTACGTGTCAATGATTTGCTGACACCATCTAAAATCGTCATCAACCACCTCATTTCTTGCTCTTTTATAATCTCCCTTATTTCTTACTACATTATAAACTACCTCAATTCTTGCTTTTATATAAAGTACCTCATTTCTTGCTCTTTTAGAAACTACCTCATTTCTTATTCTTTTATAAACTACATCACTTCTTGTTCTTTAATAAACTACTTCATTTTTTGCTCTTTTATGGACTACCTCATTTCTTGCTCTTTAAGAAACTACCTCATTTCTTGCTCTTTTATAAACTACCTCATTTCTTGCTCTTTAAGAAACTACCTCATTTCTTGCTCTTTTATAAACTACCTCATTTCTTGTTCTTTTATAAACTACCTCATTTCTTGCTCTTTTATAAACTACCTCATTTCTTGCTCTTTCATAAACTCCCTTATTTCTTGATCTTTTAGAAACTACCTCACTTACATTTGTTTTTTTGTATAAGCACTACCTAATTTCTTGATCTTTAATTTATAAGCTACCTCATTTCTTGTTCTTCATTGAATTTGTTTTCCAAATACTCTTTGATCATTTTCTGGGTCTAAAATACACAAAGAAAACGACGAGCTGCGTGGAATATTTTCCAAAAAATGATGACAAAAAAAAGATGAAAGCGAGACCTCCTCTTTGATCTCATCTACTTTAATTTTGTTTTCCTTGATCAAATTTTGTCTTGCCATTATGGCCTCTTCGTAACTTAACATTCCTTCCTGAAAGGTCCGAAAAAGATATGGTCATAAAAGTTGCAGGACATGTTTAAACTTAACTATCTTAATGAGGTTGTTTTCCATCACAGCGTCTGTCTTTGAACAGAACTGTATCATATGCATACATGTCTTTCAAGTTTCTGTAACGTTTTACATGTAGCTTACCAATCTTCTGCGCTCGATCTCCGCAAGCATTTCATCCATATCTTTCTGCAAAAGCAATACATACGTATTCGAGTTCTTATAATTATTATGAAAATAATATCAACACTTAGACCATTGATCTTCTTGATGACATTTTAGTGTTAAAAGTTCTTAGTCATGATATACAATACCATGCCAAAACTCTTCTCAAATCTTTATACAAAATATCTAAGATCTAATCCTCGTTGAAATTGTTTCAAAGATTGTCATGGTATTTGAAGCCGTTTTTCATTTGATAAAGATATTCCTGAATAGATGCTTTGAAATTATAGCCGATTTATAGGATAATGAATTTCTTGTGGAGAAATTAAATTTTAACGTAATAAGCAAAGCTAAACTTCATTTCCAACTAAAAAATCGTAGGCATGATTCTTGTTCTGATCAAGATAAATTGTAGGTACTGACATTGTGAGCGCGCAAGGTGAGATGAATTTATGGAGAAACACATCCCATCGCACTCCTTATGCGAACGTTTTCCTAGAGTTATCTATTCCATGGATTTATTCTTTTTATCTACTTTTTATGAGCAAGCGCCTGGGAACGAGACATGGCAAAGCATGACAAACATTGCAAGTTCATGACCTCAATACCATTCCAGTTGGTGTTCAACAGCACTTGGAGATGGTTATACATTGCAACAATCTATACTAAACGATGAATCGTTCGCAATGATATCTAAATAAAAGCTAGGAGTTCGTTACTCCATGAAATGGCACCTTCTTTATATCTTCCTGCCACCTGTAAAACTCCGATGCATCTTTGCCACCTTTTTCCAGTTCAAGGAGTCTAAATTTACGAATTCAATGCAAATGACGATCGTGGCAAATTAAACATAAGATATGTTGTTACATTTGAACCTTTTTATTTCCTCTTGTTCGCGTTTTTCATACAATTCGCCTTCCCTCATGATGGCGGCAGCGTTCAGTTTGATAGGAATGTTCTCTCGCTAAGTTAGATAAAAAAAAGTTCGCTATCGTTATCTGGTAACATATAGAAGAACTTAGCTCAGCGTATATTTAAACGGACTATATAAGCGATTTTGTTGAAGTACATGTAAAAGCTATAGCTATGCTTGTTAATAATTTCCAAAAAAAATCTTCCATTTTTTCCTTATCATTATTTAAGAGACATCTGTAACTTGACAAACAAAAGATATTTACTGTGTTTGCAAAGGCTTTTGCAAGCCGAGGAGACGTTAGAGAGAAGTCGAAAGGAAAGCGGTGCAAACCCAAAACCGAAGGTTGAAAAGATCGAAAGCCATTGCAAACACGGTTAAAAGCCTTAATTTTCAAACACGAAAAAGGTATCTTATTTCTTTCATAAAATAAAATAATGCAAAACAGATAAATTTAAAATAAATGTGTAGATTTTTCCTCTAACATGCATTAATGATTAGCAAATTCTCTCAAATTGAATATTGATTGAGCTCTAATCGGTTCGCCTAGGTTTAATGCAAACTCAGTGCATTATTCTATAGACCAATCAGTGCATGCATTATATTGTTGTTATTGTTGCTAATGTTGTTGTTATTATTGCTATAAACGTTGTTATTATTGCTATAAATGTTGTTATTATTGATATAAATGTTGTTACTATTGTTGTTGTTATTGCTGTAAATGTCGTTATTGTGGTTGTTATTGCTGTAAATGTTGTTATTGTTGGTATTGATACTGTTGTTATTGTTGTTATTGTTTTTTTACGTTCGAATTGAGAGGGTTATCACGTAAGACTTCTTACCCCTCTCGTGCCACCTTAGAAAGACATGAAAAAAAGTTTGCATGGTGAACTTGAATTGCGGTTAAGGATTCGGTTTAGCATCATCAATAACACTCACAAAAAATTTCCCCATAACGAAAATATTTTGAAATGTTTCTGAACGTTTCTGAATGTTTCTGAAATGTTCCAATACGTACTATGTATGATGGAGCAGGGTTCGCTTTTGCAGATGCAAACTTTAACCTGGAAAAATATCGCATTTGTATGATGATCATCACACTGTTTTTAAACAAAAACTTCATGCATGAAATGAGTCGTATGGTAAACATGCAGAACAACAAATGCTTACTGTTTTAAATACATACTTGGAGTCTTTCTCCGCCTGGATTTCGTACATTTTCCTCATCGTTTTGTCCGACTTCTCTGGATTTGCGCATTGAAACTGTGAGGCATTTGCATTGAGCAAGTTTATCTAGAGAAGAAACGTTTTAAACATTGAATAGGTTTATCTAAAGAAGAAACGTGTTGAGCATTGAATTAGTTTATCTGAAGAGGAATCATGTTAAACATTGAGTAAGTTTATCAGAAGAGGAAACATGTTAAACATTGAGTAAGTTTATCTGAAGAGGACACATGTTAAACATTGAGTAACTTTATGTGAAGAGGACACATGTTAAACATTGAGTAAGTTTATCTGAAGAGGAAACGTGTTAAACATTGAGTACGTTTATCTGAAGAGGAAACATGTTAAACATTGAGTAAGTTTATCTGAAGAGGACACATGTTAAACATTGAGTAAGTTTATCTGAAGAGGAAACATGTTAAACATTGAGTACGTTTATCTGAAGAGGAAACGTGTTAAACATCGAATCATTTACTTTGGAAAGGAAACGTATGAAACATTAACTATACAAGAAAATAGTGACTTTCAACTAAAAAGAAACATAACACTCAGTCTGCACAACAGTTAAAAAGCCACATATCCTCTTTACACCTCAGCCTTTTTCTTATTTTTTGACCTCTCTTCTTGCAATCTTGAGGCAACGGCAGGAATTGTGTATGTACTCTGGGGAACCTATAATACAAAAAATACATCATGAGCGAATTTGCCTTGTGGAAATATTTAGGACTCAATTCCAAATCAATAAGTTTGACTTACAGGCTTTGAAGGCTTCAATTTCGGTATCTATCAAAAACAAAAACACTCTGAATGATTTTTAGAGGATCAAAACCAAGTGGCGTAGCAATCCCAGGGATGGATCCACCATGGTTTTGTAGGGAGTGCCTTCGCTATGATTAGACTTCGGGGACAATTTTTAACGTAGCAAGTCAGACTTTTTTGTTTAATCTTGCAAACTTTATTTGGGAGATTTTTAGAAGTGGTCTCCGTTAATCACACATCGCTTAGTTGTCAAGTATAATGATATTTAGTTGGGAAGTTAGTGCCTCCCCTCCCTCCTCAACACAAAAATCCATCCTTGCATTTTTGGTCGTGCTATGCAATTTTCAGATCATCAGCGCTATTTACTTCAATTGAAATCTGTTATTTTGACAGCCAAACTTAGGCTACAGCTACGCCATTCATAAGTTTCAGCAAGATTTAAGCTTTTGTACATTGGTGGAATGAAAGGGTGGGGTGGGGTGGACAGAGGTGCTTACCCCATTGCTTCGCCCCTCTGCGCAAAGGTCAACAAGGGTGCAAAGAGGGATGCTAATTGCAAAAATTAAAATTAAAATCCATCCTACTTTTAATGGAAAAAGCCTTTACGATTAAAGTTTGTTGACTGTCAATGTATTTACTTTGATCGAAAGGCGTGAATGACAATTGATTTGTTGACTAAACAAGAACAAGTTTCCCCTTTTAACGACGAGTAGGTAAATAAATAATTGGTTTCTAACCACTGAACTTTAGTTAATCACTAAGCCAAACATCCCCCCCCCTCACCTAAAAAAATCCTGGCTCGATCCATAACCGCTTGTCTATGTAAGAACATACCTTATCAGGTATGGGAATACTCCGTGGTCGTGGTTGAGTCAACTTGAAAGGTTGTATGGCTAAAAGAAACAAGAATTCTTACCGTGACGTCATGGATTCGTCATCATGACGTCATAAAAACAAAAAGACGACGAAATAGCTAATATTAGTTATGATCATTTAATATAACTTAATATAAGTTGAGTTTATGACATGAACATCGTCATTTCAAGGTTAGCATTATTGCACTTTGGTTGCCGTACGTTGTAAAATGTGTAAAATACAGTCTTACGATGTCGGCAGTACGTTGTAAAATGTGTAAAATACAGTCTTAAGATGTCGGCAGTACGTTGTAAAATGTGTAAAATACAGTCTTAAGATGTCGGCAGTACGTTGTAAAATGTGTAAAATACAGTCTTAAGATGTCGGCAGTACGTTGTAAAATGTGTAAAATACAGTCTTAAGATGTCGGCAGTACGTTGTAAAATGTGTAAAATACAGTCTTAAGATGTCGGCAGTACGTTGTAAAATGTAAAATACAGTCTTAAGATGTCGGCAGTACGTTGTAAATGTGTAAAATACAGTCTTACGATGTCGGCAGTACGTTGTGAAATGTGTAAAATGCAGTCTTACGATGTCGGCAGTACGTTGTAAAATGTAAAATACAGTCTTACGATGTCGGCAGTACGTTGTGAAATGTGTAAAATGCAGTCTTACGATGTCGGCAGAACGTTGTAAAATGTGTAAAATACAATCTTACGATGTCGGCAGTACGTTGTAAAATGTGTAAAATACAGTCTTAGGATGGCAGTACGTTGTAAAATGTGTAAAATACAGTCTTACGATATCAGCAGTAGTAAGATGTGTAAATTACAGTCTTACGATGTCGGCAAATAATGTATTACGAATGAAAATCGAGAAAAACTGTTTTGCTTGCAAGATAACTATCACACCGACTGTATTTTTATTTAGATCCATATCTTTGATTCCCGACTGCCTCTTCCTTTCAGTTAAAGATAGTCACAACAAATAAATGTTGTTTATAATACATTTCAAAGAAGACATTCAATAAAAGACTTTCGAACAGCATATTAGCAGGCGACTCCATTGATTCTCTATTTCATATATTGAAATTGCGTACGCCTCCGTAAGCATTTCTATATCCGCGTGCATTTGTCTTTTACTCAGCAAATTGTTCAACAAAACATATCATCTTGTTTTATCAAGACCATCGCCCTCGTATAATTTTGAAGCAATCGATGGGGCAATTCTCATTTTAAAGATAAATGTTGTTTTTTTTATCCCGTAGCGTCACATTACAAATACTGGTCGCGTGAACTGACACGAGATCTTTTAACGTGTGAACAACGCTTGTGTAACAAAGTTGTCTTCGGCGGCAAAGTGTAATTAACGAAATTTGACAAATATTTCAATGACAAAGTCACTTGTTCCAAAACTGGCATGTTAGTTTTTCAACAAACATCTTTGTCATGAAAAATTAAGCTGATCACAAAGATTTTACTCATATACACGGGTGTATTTCTGTCGTAAATAACTTTGACACAGAAACATCGCTCGTGTAAATTACGCAAGGCAGAAAAAAAAAGAGAAAAATGTATTCACCTGTATTTGGTTTTCTAATCCGTTCGGGCACACGTCGCGAGGAAATTTTGTTTTCTAATCGCAGCAAGACAATCTCTTGTAGTTCAGGCAACCAGCTGTAACATGAAAAAAAACACACAAATGTTATACAGATAACTTGATTCCCACTCTATAAGCATGGGGGAAAAGATAAAAAAATGAACAAAAATATCAGCAATCTAAAGAAAATCCTTCACACCTTGTGATGGCAAAGTGCAATAAAAGATCGAAAAAATACAAACAAAAATATGTTAGAAAGGTGATCATATATGGCTGTTGTGGGGGTGTTGGTTAAGTTAAGGTTAGGGTTAGGGTTAGTACAGTTTAATTGCCAAACAGGTATTTCAAACTTTAATGTGCATTTTGAAAGTGGCAAGCACTGGAATATGGTCACAGTGCTAGAAGCTCCATAAAACAGAGGAGAAGGGAGGCATAGTTAAATTTGTAACTGTTGATTACATCAAAAAATTTTAATCTAAGATACACAATAACTATATGTTTTATTAAAAGTATCCAACAGAAATTACTAGTTGCCAGCTTCTAATGAAACTGCTGGAAAAACTGTAATCCAGTGGCATCTCTAGCTCGATACGTGAGGGGGACAGAATTCATATTATCATGTTTATATCTGTTAGAAACAATTGATTTCAAAGGAACTTAACATGGAAAAACATGCATATATGAATAAAATCTCCTAGCTTATCGAGCAGGCGATGCCACTGCTGTAATCAACTTTTTCTGGAAAAACTTCAATCGACTTTTCCCAAATATTTTAGGAGACATGAAATGATTTACCACAAAGGGTTATCAGAAGCTATCTCTGTTTTATCAAAAAATATGTCGTTCTTTCCTAAACAATGTTGAAAATAAGTTTGTCTCCACAAAGCTTTGATCATAATGTTTACACCACTAAAGAATAATAGTGTATTTAAACCACAAATCAAGTTTTTTTCTTACCTAAGTAACGTTGAAACTAAACTTTTCTCCACAAAGCTATGATCATAATGTCTACACCACTAAAGAGCAATCACAGATCACATCATTATTACAGAAGAAAATGCAAAGTTCATCAAATGAGTTCACTAAGCCCAGAAACCTCATCTGCCATCCATGTATTGATGTTTCCTTTATTCAGAAAAAATTTAAAGAAATTGTGCATTTTACTGGCATCTTGACAACCGACCAGCTTCCACAAGTAACCAACTCCTAGCTCATCCAATCGAAACAGAACGAGATAACACAACACTTAGCAAATGAAAAAGAAATGGATATCAGTTAGATTTAAAAATTCATAATAAAGTTAATATAGAAGCAAATGCCTACCAGAATAAAGACTTTTATCTGAACGGAGGCAATTTTTACCATCCCTGGCGTAATATGCATCAATTACAACCTATTCATAAGTGAATGGTAAAATGTGCAAACTGTCTTGATGATGTTGGAACATAGTAGATTAAACAGCCAAACCAGACTCAGTTACATAGCCAAAGGGAAGGGGGGAAGCAAAGGGCCATCTTGCAAAATTTCCCCCTCCCTAAACTAAAATATTGCACTTTATTTACATTACATTGTTTCCATGACATTCATGACACTCTTCCCTTTTAACTGCCCCCCCCCCCTTGATAGAAAACCCTAGTTACACCAATGACTGGACTGCAAATTATGGAAATTTTTAGCAAGACGTGCAAGAGCACTTTTCAAATGTACAACAAAAATTTTTTTGTCTTTGGTGGTGTGCAATTGAGTACAAATTGTGCAATGCAGACTGTTCTGTTTTTTTACAAACATGATGAACATTGGCATCTTTTCTACATTAATTGGGGAGGGGACCGTTATTCATATATTCTATTATGCCTAGCTATACATGAATACAGTGACACTCATTTAACATTGGATTGACGCTCATGATGATGAACATGTCTGATCTTTTGAGGTGAATTGAAATTGGGAAATTAAAGGCAAAATCCCTTGATTTTGAGTTTCTATGTGACTAGTTTTCAAAACTTTGCACTTGGCTTAGTAGGCTCAATAATTTTACTGGTGTGTGCAGTAGTTTACTAAAGTAGTGTCCGTGGTGCATTGACAAGAGTAACTGATTTTGAGTGCGGACGGTATTGAACGGTTTGAACTGGGTGACGGAGTTTGGAAGGTGTATCAGAGTTTAAATATCTTAAATGATGGTGGAGGGTGCGAGCAAGCGGTGAGGAACAGAGTTCAAGCAGCGTGGTGGAGTTTTAGAGAGTTGTCGGAATGTTGTGCGGAAAGTCGACTTTTGAAGGAGAAGGGAGAATTGTACAAGGCATGTGTTAGAAGTGTTTTGGGATATGGAGCAGAGTGTTGGGCACGAAAGCAGAGGACCTGAGAAGATTCGAAAGGAGAATGCTTAGGATGATGTGGTGTAACGCTGATGGATAGGATTGAAGAGATTAGAGAAAGAGTTGGTGTTGAGTGTATGGGGAATTGGGTTTGAGGTGGTTTGGGAATGTGGAAAGGAGGGAAGAAAGTGCTGAAAAGAACGTTGCATATGAATGTTGATGGAGTCCGAACGAGGTAGACCGAAAGAGATGGATGGATGCTGTGAACAATGATATGAAGGCGATGGGTATAACGAAGAGATATGGCGAGATAGAGACGTTTGGCATAGAAAAATTCATGGACGGTCAACTGGCGGGATTAATACTGGCCGATATACAAATGTTGTTTGTTGTTTGTGTTTGTTTGCAGTAGTTTACTAAAGTATGTATAAATCTTCGTTGTGCAACTGTAATGCCATACTTTGCTTCAGACAGTCAAAATACTCAAAACTCCTCTGTAATCATTATTACATTTGAAATTAATAAACTAAAAAAGCATTTATGTTCATAAAAACCTTAATGACGCTTTGATATCTCACACATCCGGAGAAAACCTCAGAAATGAACACTTTGGTCTCCTCGTTATTAACCTTCAAGAGATAATTGTTTATCAAACAATTTTATTTTTTTCATCATCCACGCACAATATGCAAGGGTATCAAAATGTATTTTGTACCTTATTCTTCACTAGACACCTTTCTAAATGCTCTTCGACACCATGAGTCGTGCCATTATAACTTTCGTAAACTTCAATCGAGTATTTTAACAGAAACTTCACCGAATTCATTGCCTATTATTCGGACTCTTTCTAAAAAATATTGCAAAGCAAACTTACAGCTTTACAATATCGAAAAGAAATATTTAAATTAACGTCTTATAAATCATTCAAAAAGAAGTTAAATCGACAAAACGGTATAACATCATAACAAACACGTTAGTCAAACTTCTATGGCATCCCAATATGGCGGCGGAAACCTTAACAACCGCCATGGCAACGACCACGCGATTAAATCTCATGATAATGATGATCTTATGGATCTTATCTTGATAAGGATCAAATGGGGATTGCTCAAACAAAATTAAATCACTAATTATTGACGTACGATCTTAAATTATCATTACTAATACATATCTTAGTTGGAAAAAACCATTGATGATGCCGAACTTTACTTTATGTCCCCGTTGTTTATACGTTATGACTGATAGTGATAGCAGGTCGGTTATACACCAATGGAGCTTACATTCAGCCAGCATTAAATTAATGTTTGTTAACACAGATTTCCAGGCATTATTTTACAATAAACCATTCTTACTACGACAATTTTAATAAGTATAAGAAGAAGCAGATTCCATGGGAAATAGGCATCTTGAAATTCAATATTTGTTTCAAATGAAGTAAAAAATTCAACATCAATTCATCGTTTTATGTCTCTAATTTTAACTCGAATGTAGATGTAGTCGATTGTACGGTTCCGGTTTTTTTTGGGAAAACTCCCCCTGTAGTCGTCAAGATAGGTCAACATCTGAAATCAGAATACGTGCTCCGTATTTTCAAGCCAACTTTATACTTTTACTAATGTGATAGTTTACGGTTTATATGATGTTTAATTCTATAGCAATTCTAAGTTTCAAGTAACAGTATTGTTTTAATATTAGTCATTGGTTTAAGTATTTAGGGCGAGACGTTAAATATTGCAGTTTTTCCTATTCCTACATATGCATTATAATTTAACCAGACCTTTATCTTTCTTGGATATGCCCAATTCAGTAACGTTATTTCTTTAAAAAATAACACACGCAAAATTCGAAAGAAATTTGTTATAGTGAGAGCTTTTCTGACAAGGCAAGCGTCTTGAATATGCTAAAATTTTATGACAAGACGCAATCGGCTGCTGTCAACATGTTTTGTTATCTTTTCTCTACTCGAGAGCTTTCCTAAACCGTAAAACACTCGTATCACGTTCGGAAGCCCTCGAGTACGTCACACGTGGAGTGTTTTAATTTATGGCATAATTTAACCCACGCAAGACTAGTACCCAAATAAGTAACCCCCGACGTACAAGCACTTTTAAATTTACATTGGTAGATATACATCGTATACGCAGTTTGGTCGATCATTTTTCAAAACTTCAACTTCTTAAAAGTTTATCAGTCAGACGAAAGAATGTCAGCCGATCCACGTTTGACCCTACTTCAAGGTAAAATATAGCGTATTGAAAGCGTTTCACTCAACGCCGCGAGATTTTTCCACCTGATAATTTGAGCAGTGAATTAGCTTAACTGGTAGTCTATCTATAATGTATTACATAAGAAAGAACAGTTAGATCGCCGGCACACTTAGTGGGCAAGAACACAAAGATAAGTTTTCTAAATACAAATTAACCAAATGATTTTTTGGGGAGGCGTATTGTGTCAAGGCAAAGGTTTTAGCAAATGGCACTTCGATATTGCTTGTTTTTGTCTGCTTTGATCTCGCTTTTATAACTACGCCGCACTGAGTCGGTACGCGAGCACCACTACAGAAGGTGAGATAAAAACTGCCAGTTTCTCTTTACTGTTGTCTTTCGTTCTGAAATTCACTGTCGCCACGAATGATTTAAGGTAAAAATATTTGAATTAATTGCTGGGTCATTAAATCTATAATATTTGTTCGAACGCTTGGCTAAAACAATTTGACAGTTCGAACAGAGGCCAATTACTGGGATTGACAGTGAGATATGACAAAACGTGAGTCGGTTTGTAAAGCGAGTTCATTTTAAGCGACAAAATGATGTTAATGATGTAGAAATTTGTCAAGTATTGCCGTGTATTATAAATCACAGTATACTCTCCATATTTTATGTTAATAGCGGAGTTTATTGTGAAAAGGCAATCATGCATTCTTAATCAACCTCAACAATGCCAAATGCCTTTTCCATAAAGAATTTGTGAAAGAAATCGGAGCGAAAGTCGCCAAACATATTTTACTTCATAATAGATAGTTTTGCGGGCCTACTTTTTCGTTTTGCGAAATTTTCGGCCGTAAATAAGTCGCTACGATGGCAACTAAAGTCAAGAGACTTTGCAATTATCCAAAGTATGCTCAAATAAGAATTAATTTCATAAGCACACAATGTTACGTTGCTCTTATAATTGCCAAACAAATTCTTCCGTAGGAACACTGAATTTCAGCTTCTGAATCTTTATTCTTATGACTTCTTCGTTTTATACACACGTTTCCCATTCATTTTTTCAGTCTCGCTGTAGATAAGGAGCTACGTATAAAGTTCGTAAGCCAAGTATACCGCAGATGGTATATGGTGTATACGACTTTAAAAGAATTGCAACGTTTTGATAAATAATAAACATATATAATATTTGATTATGTATATTATAAATATTATTATTTTTATTGTAGCTACTATATTATTATTATATATGCATATATGTTTTAGTTATTCCAAATATGTTTTACTTAATCATTTCAGATTTGCGATTGAAATCTTTTGTTTATATAATTAGACGTGTTATGATATATAATTATATCATGAGAAGGCGATACAAAAATCAGTCGAAAACACATATTGATAATTTTAGCAAGATTTTTGAGATTAGTCTTTGGTACTTCCCATCATCGTGAAGAAATGCAACACTTTCAAAAATGACCTGGAAACCAGAAAGAGCCTAGCAAGACACCTCAAAGCCTAGTTTATACTTTACGTTTCTGCAATCACCACGAGAGTTATACCTTGATGAATGTCTGGAGATTCGTTTCACATGAGAAAATTCTTTAAACAATCATCCCGTTCATAGCAAAATACTAGAAGTTTCGTTGAAAAGATCTTTTAAGATTACAAAATTTACGTTTCCATGTATTGATATTATAAAGATCAAAACAAAAAAAAATATTTTAAACAAATTTTCGAAAACTGACTTTTCCGACAATTTCAGGTTTTTGATGTAGGTTATTTGGCACCGTGATAATTTTCAACTTTTGTTTCATGCTGCAAAAGCTAGCAAAATGCTGTCTTCCAATTTAAAGTTATTCAAAAGTTGATAGAGCTATCGAGAACGCGCAAAACCTCCAGGGTATATTTCATCGGCATATGCAATCATTTTATTTTAATAAAGTGCATTCCTTGCCTCACAAACATTTTTCCCGGTCCACTATCTGTAATCAGTTTTCGACAAAATGTAAATAAATTTCATGAAGCAAAGAGCAAAGCGGTTTTGTAAAACGCAAAATGCAAAACAAAACAAGCATTTAGCTACGAATACGAATGAGAAGTGAGAAAACACTTGAAAAGTGAGTTCTGTTTTGCAGACGACGCAATTTTAAACGATTTATTCCATTTACTGAAGAAAATTAAAGGAGTGAAACCAAACTGACAGTTATGAGGAAAAAGAACAAAAAGGAACGGGCACGTACCACTATAACATGATGACGTTCACGTCTAAGTGGAATGTCCGAGAGGGCTCAGTAAATCTTCGAATGCAGTTTGCCATGTGTGCATCACCATAGGCGTACGGAGCTATCATTTTTTTGGGGGTGCTCTAAATATTTTCGCTAGCTCACAAAGAAGGTTCGCCGTATTTTCGTCTGACTAACGCTAAAATTTTCCCAACTTTTCAATCTCTAAACTTTCTTGGCAGGCAGTTTTCCCCCTGCCCTCCTCGTCCCGTACGCCTATGTGAATTACCACGTATATCATTATTTTCCAATGAATAAACTAAACGTTTAGCCATCGTGGTTTAGCCAAAGTAGATCCTCAGTCTAATATCTCCATCATCGCACTGTAAAAATTGATTGGTGAAAATAACCATGTAATTGGTGAAAATAACCATATGATTGGTTAAAATAACCATATGATTGGTTAAAATAGCCATATGATTGGTTAAAATACCCATATGATTAGTTAAAATAACCATGTGATTGGTTAAAAAGGTTAAACGAATCTGAGGTAACCAAGTTTTATGGTTATTTTAACCAATCAGTTTTTACTATGCGGCAATGATTCTTAGCTACAAGAAATTACGAGGAAACTGATGTGAAATGTATCGTAATAAAATTCTTGTCAAAAGTAAAAATATCAACGAAGTTTGTCAGTTGCAAACTTCGTGAGTACGCGAAACCAAAAATATCCTCAGGAATAAAGAGGAAGGCATTATAGTAGTCAAACTGACAGTTATGAGGAAAAGGAACAAAAAGGAACGGGCACGTACCACTATAACATGATGACGTTCACGTCTAAGTGGAATGTCCGAGAGGGCTCAGTAAATCTTCGAATGCAGTTTGCCATGTGTGCATCACCATAGGCGTACGGGAGCTATCATTTTTGGGGTGCTCTAAATATTTTCGCTAGCTCAAAGAAGGTTCGCCGTATTTTCGTCTGACTAACGCTAAAATTTTCCCAACTTTTCAATCTCTAAACTTTCTTGGCAGGCAGGCAGGTGGTTTCTTAGATCAACGTCTCGGACTGTTATTAGCATTGCGACTCTCTTTGAAAACTCACCTTTCATGAAAATTTAATTTAATCCAAAGCATTTTTTCTGTAGCAGTTTCGACAACTCGCAGCAGCACCATCAAGCACATTGGCTCAATTTCAACCCACGACGAATGGTAAGTTGCTTTTCGTAGTTTTTTGCAATGCGGTACATATTTGGACCTATGAAGAAACATTAGCACGCGAACATTTGTAGAAATGGTACTCGTTTCACTCTACGGTGGAAAACATGAAATAACCATGCAATAAGCAATTACACGCTAACGATGCGCTAAAGCTTAACTCCGAGAATTACGCGAAATTAGAAATCAATTAATTGGTTTTATTAGAAATTAATGCGTTTAGTTGGATTGTAATGCATGACATGGCGTGGCAAGATGCATTGGAATTGTTTTGAATTAATTTGGCGAAACTGAAACTGTCGAAAATTACATCCTATTTACTACCCTGATAAATAGGGTATCGCCTGTACAAGGAGTTGTATGTCAAAGATGAAAGGTTTCTATTTGACGACGTACCCTTCGTCAGCTCTTTTGCGCTGTCAGTTTAAATTTACCATAAGAACAACATAAAACATAATTCGTGGTCGCTGCATCCGTCCGTCCTTTTACATCATTACGTGTGTGGGGGCAGTTAGTTTCAATTGGCCTACAAAGGAGAGATCTTGACATTTAAGTTGAAATCGTAATACGATAGTCACGTATGCTATTGCGTGGTAAACTTTCACAAGAAGACCGCTCAATACCGTTGATAGAAGGGACGTTGCATGTTATGAACAGAAAAATTTTGCTGTCCCACTGAGTTTTGCACGCTTAGGTTATGTTACACGATGATGAATGATGATGAGGATGATGATGATAACATATATATTTATATATAGAAACAAAAAAGTAGGAACTGATATTTCTTTTAAGAAGTTTCATTCACATGTAGGAGGAAAATTTTCGATACTCGACACGGATTTCTGGCCTTTGAATAGTCATCCCATTTGTATATATGAAAAATAGGGGCAGTCTCTGGTGCATCCGCATCTTAAGATGACGTCATAGGGATTATTCGGTAAACGATTATTTTTACCGGCATATTTTTTTGGGAATATTTCAGTGGTCGCGGAAATCTTCGTTGATTGTGTGAAGACTGACCATGTAATATCGAGTTTCCTCTTCGAAATTTTACTTCGACTTCCTGAGCAATGGACTTATATCAAATTTTTATCATTATGCTAAAATGAAAGTTGCTGTACCAAAGTGTGATGAAATTGAATAACATCCGACGAAGAGAGTCCATCAGCTGATAACTATCAGGTGATGATTATATATGCAGTCGATACATGCATTGTAATAATAAACTGGTGGGCGCACTTTAGCTTTTTTCAAATAAACCGTACTGTATTTCGAAAAAATGTTTCGAGTGTACAGCTGCTCTGCTCAGCTTACTAGATGCTGTTGTGGAATTCTGAAAGCGTGCAGAAAACACACGATGAGTTTAAAACACATTAGTTAATTGAAGAAAATCAATAGATCATTATTAAGTCAATCGTTTATCTTTTCGACACATCAGGAATTCTCGCATTGTTGACGATTAAATCATAAGTATGTAAGGTTTACAACAAGTGCATGCAACCTAAAACTGCTTGCGGCTTGAATTGTCGCTCTAAGATAAAATTTTAACAGCGTTACGAACGACTTTTTTCAACTACATCGTAAACCGTGCCTGCATGGTTTGCCATCCGTTCAAATCACCTAGATTTTAAAAGCACGCGATGATACGAATATGCATGAATTATATCAGTTAGTTTGATGACATATATCGTAGTAAGCTGCTGTTCGTGCCAGTTCACGAATACTTATTTGAAGTAATAACGTTTACCAACGATTGCATGTGCTAAAAATGTGAGTACAATTAGACCATGCGTTTCTTGTAATTTATTTTGACTTAAAATGTAATTTATAGCTGCCTCCCACGTATACCTGTTACCTATACGTTTATACTGTAAACGAAGATTAACACAGCTGTTCTGCTCTTATCCCTACTTACTATCCAAAACTCCGACGCATATAATTCGGACTACGAATAGCAAGAGTATAAAAAATACACACCACCACCCAATCGCCTTAAAGTGAAGATTATCTCGCCTTGCCTAGTCGATAATAAGGTTGACCTCTCGCCCTTCGGCTGTAGTGTAAAATAACACTCTATACGTTTCGAAATTGTCCCAGTGTTGGCGATTGTATTCTGTATTTTCATAACATTTAGCAATGTTTGTAATATCTAGCCCATATCATTGCACTCGAGGCACATAGTTAATATTAATAACAGCTGCATTTATTTTTAGACCGCTTGCGCTATATTTGGCCGCGCAGATATTGACAAATTGCTTCCCTTCGTGAGATCGATCTAATGCGCTTGCCTTGACTGAGAGGGCAGGTGGAAGCTCTTGATGCATTAATAATAAATTCGAAATCTGCATTCGCTGTACATCGGCGAGTTGTTACTCGGAGAACACCGGTGAAAAACTTTAACATCCGGTGATGGCTAATCGCCAAGTGTTACACCTTAAAAATTAATATCAAAACCAAAAACAGTCTTTTATACATAGACAGTGCTCGACGCCATATTTTATCGCAGTTCCGCATAACTTAACAACGGGCATTTGCTAGCTTTGTGTTAGTTTCCTAGCAACAAAACAAAGCAACACCTAGTTTCAATATCGTCGATATGCGAACCCATATTGTGTTCATAATGTTATTTAATAGTTTGTTTCCGCTGAAGGAGCGCCCGCTGTTATTGCCGTCGTTTTCATTTGCAAAAAGTTAAATGAAAGTACCCACCCGTAATGCATAGCCAGTCAAAATCCGAGGAAATCATATAAAAATAGTATAAGACCTTAGTTGTCATGAATAATTACAGTTCGGAATGTTAATCTGAAACCAAATACAGATAATAGCACATTAGTAATTACGTCAATCGTGTCGTTGACGTCACGAGAATGCACAGCGGTGATTGGCGGAAAGGGACGACACAATCAAACCTCAAAGGACGCAACGTAATAAAAGTTTAAGGCGCACGCCAGCGGAATTAAATCAAACCAAGCAAGTACAAGAGTGAACTTCGGCTAGTCCGAATAAAAAAATAAAATAAAACGTTATTGCTGGCAATAACGTCTGTTGATCAGTTTCAAAGTTTTCGTCGAATTTTTTAGTTTAAACCTACAATGACTTACACAAACTGCTACGACTATAGCAACTTACTAACGAGCACAGACGCGTTGGGAAGCTTAGGAAGCCTAGCGAAAGTCGCTACAGATCAACTGCTAGGCTGGACAGATACCTCCGGATTTTTAGCATCGCAGCTTAACACGCAAACGGCTCAAGCTTGTATTGACGACTTCACTTTTGGCGTTGACACGTTCGGCGAACAAACAGTGCCAGGTATATAGTTTAAAGTGTTCTCAATCGGTATTAAAACTCTCGTTTATTTGATGACGCTCGTTTTAATCAACGCTAGTGTATCAAACTGACATAGGTTTTGGCAATGCATTCGAAATTCCTTTGATACATAACTCTTTGTTTTGTATGAACAATTCGATGACTTTGGGCGTAAGTCGTATCACGCACTTACGTGCTTTGACGCCATCATTCGCTTCACATTTTACGCGAACCTAATCGTCGTTTCCATAAAGCGCTTTAAATTAAACACTCTTCTCATTGTAAAGAAATGATATGTTTCTTCTTCATGCTACGTTTGGTAGTCGATCGATTTTTATGAAATTCTGCGCGTTTCGAAATAGTGATATTGAACTTCTTTTATACTCTAGTCGATATTTTGTGTTCAAATTTTCAGGACTTTTGTGTTTTGTTTGAGAGTAATGCGTTGGTGTAAGAGTTTAAACTAAATCTATGTTGTTATTCCTTTCTTGAACAGGAGAGTACGACTTCGCAGCCGTGCCCGAATTAAAACAAGACATCAAACCCGACATCGCACTACTCCAAAAAAACGCACATCGTTTCGACCAATTTAAAACTCCATCTCTTGCAGAAGTGTTTTCTCAAACCTCCGGAACAAGCCCACCTCCAACTTCACAAACCTCCCCATACAGCTCGCCACCTCACAATCAGTGGAATCCTGATCGCACGGTCTTGACTTCTCTCGTCAGCAACGTCAACCCCATCAATACTGCGATTCCTTTTTCCTCGTGCTCCACTCCCGCATCAATGTCGCAACCACCAGTTTCATGCAGCATTCAAAACACAATTCAACCGCAATCCGCTGCCTTGTTACAAAAGATTCAGCAGCAACAGCAACTCTTTGATACGTACCAAAAAGTGACGCAAGCCGCCACGGCCTTCCCTTACACGAAGGCACCTCCATCACTCTCTACTCTCCCATACCTTCCAGTTACAGCAACCGTAAATATGAAGTGGCCATTGATTGGCGATCCAAATGGGCTTACGCAAAATCTTAAAATGGACGCGAGCCTCGAAAAGCTACTGAATCCTTCCGCAAACGACTTCTTCAATAATAACAACAACAACAACAACAACATCATGAAGGTCCCCAAGTCTGCACCCAATAATAACAGCAACAACCACAACATCAGACCTGTGAAAGGTGGAAGTAACATACTTAAAGTGAAAGAGACGACCAACTCACGAAACGAGCCAAAACACCGCCAAGTGAACGACCGTATGGATGTCCTTTTGAGGCCTGCTCCCGACGCTTTTCTCGCTCTGACGAGCTCACTCGCCACATGCGTACGCACACTGGTCAGAAACCTTTTCAATGTCGTATCTGCATGAGGAATTTCTCTCGTTCTGATCATCTGACAACCCATATCAGAACGCACACCGGTGAGAAACCATTTGCGTGCGATACCTGCGGCAGACGCTTCGCCCGTTCTGACGAGAGAAGAAGGCACACGAAAATCCATCTGCGCGAGCAAGCCAAAAAAGAGGAAGAGGCTAAAAAGGCTTTAGTAGCTCAAAGCCATTCGAATCTTACGACCGTGCCTTCGTCACAATTTCAAGTTCCCTCTCTTTCCACCATGCCAAGACCCCTTTCTGCTTGAACAATTTATTTAACCATCACCAACTTTGCACTCAAAAAAATACATTTACCAGCGCTGGCGCTATCAAATATGTAGAACAAGTATATATAACTTAAACATTTAGTACCCAGAGAGAAAACACGTTTGTATTATATTTAAACAGTTGCAAGAGATGATTGTTTTAGGCTGGTCCTATAAAAACCTTGTGTATATAAAAATGAAACAACTGGATGCATGTAATATTCCATATTGAGTCACGAGGAGAATGCGAGTCTTCCTGTTGATTCGGGATTACGAGAAGATCCTTCCACATGACAAGCGAAGCTTATGGCCGCGCCATGTTCTTCGCTAGTGAACAATTTATAGTATATTTTGATTATGTCGAGGCGTGTTAACTGTAAGCCTCCAATATTTTCCTTTCTATCGAAATATAAAGAAAAAAAAACAATAAGGTTGTGTAAATCATTTTGTACAATCCCAATTCGCGTGTGTGGAGGAAAGCTTACGATGGCCTAAGCGGATTCTGCTTAGTTTGTATCTTCCCAACACTTCTTCGATCATGAACTTTTTTAGTATTGTGTTGCCTAGATATTGTCTAAGTTCCCCTTTTTTATACGCCCAAACGATGAAAACTTTGGTAGTTTGAATTATTTCAATGTGAGAAATTTCGTGATTTAATGATCGATGTAAAGTATTAGGATCGAATTTCTTTTCATAAAGATGTTTATCTCAATGTTTACACATTTTTTGAATTCATTTTCGGCACTTGAGTAATATTCATAATGATCCGAGTCAACGTCATTTCACGAGCCCCCGCTGTTAAATGTCGGAGTATGTCTTTCACGGCAACGTATTCGAAATTATACATCAACCAAAGACATAATTTTGCTACGATCCTGAACATGCCTGCCACATCATGCACATCCAACATAATACGCACTGTGTTTCGTTTAAAAATTCTGATCAGATGAAAACCAGTAAATTATCAGCCTATCAGACACTTATTGATGGAATGGATGCCATAAAAGGCAAAAATCCGAGAGATAAATATCGCAACAAAAATTCCACGTTAAAGTCTTTGTTTTTGTATTGTACAACTGCTACGTATACAAAGCAAGATACCCGGGCGCGATATTCGCTGTAAAAAATATGTCATAGTTTTACTAAAACGCTGAATAGCATAATATAATGTCGCTCGACGCTCGTGATAAAAAATACGTAAGATCTAATTAAACATACGTACGTATGAAAAGAAACATGCATATTTTCTTCTCGATTGTTGAAAACATTATTTCATAAAATACGCAAGATTTCCATCTGTATTAATATGAATGACCTCCTGTGCGGGCGACGATGTCCAATTTCGACGCATTTTAATTAAAAGAAATTAAAACAATCATTTTGTTTTAATCACTTTTAACGCATGCAAGCATCGAAAGATTTTATCGTCAGCGGCAAAGATACAGTCATACACTGGGTACATTTCAGCGCTGCTTGTGTGCAGCATCATATGAGTCCTTTTTGTTACGTCCGCCATCTGAAGCATGCGATATTTGTTTTAACTTGAAGGCCATTGGTAACATCATAACGACTCAACGGAATGTTTATAAACACGAAACCATAGCACCGTACATTTGTACAACACAGCAATATCAGTCAGAATGGATAGAAAATGGTGTGATTGAATCGTTCGCCCAAGGGTACATATCGAATTCCAAAATCCATTTGTGAAGCATGCCAAGTTTTTGTTGGAAAGATCTGTTTTAAATCAAATTTCATTCAAAATGGAAATTTCTTTGGAATTTCAAGCAATGTTTGTCATGTAAATTGTGAGCAATGACCAAATCAAAAACACGATAAAAATCTTCAGAAAAATTTTTGCGTAATAAATCGCCTATTCTTTATGGTCCATTTATGGTCGAAGGTAGAAATATGGTCTTATTTCCTTGTGTAATGTGATTTGATGAAGTGATTTGTGAGCAACATGCATTCGTGTTTGTAATTCTTATGACATCTTATTGTCAAAAAAATGAAAAGATAACAAATATTAAATTTTCAATAATGCATCGAGACAGATCACGACAAACAATGTGAAGCATTATGTGTAAAAATAATTATATTTTTGCATGTAGGGGCTACAGTTCTTATCTCCAATATGAACGCAAGTCCGAGCAAAAACAAAATAAAAACATACAAAACTAAGGTAAAATCAATCGTGAAGGAAAATAACAAGAGGAGAGCACTTTTTTCATTGGACGAATGCCAAACAGATCTATACATCACACGTGAACAAGGCATGACGAACTTTATCTCGGAATTTTGTATAAATCAGCTGAAAGAAACAGACTGAAATACCTTTACAGGTTAAAATTTAGGTAAATGAAGCATTTTCATTTATCTTGTACAAGTAAGCTAAGTTTGAACGCGACTTAAAATGACACAATTGCATGGACTGACGTACTCGGCTAAGGTCAGTTACAAACATAATATATACCATAATTTTCGTGATTTTGATTGGCTAACGTGTAACCCTATCTTTGTTTTACTAATCATATTGACAAAGAACATCTGCGTAACTGGCGTCTGCTCGGCTGTACTCTGAAGGGTTGGGAGCATTAAGACCAAGAAGGACTTTAGCTAGAGCACTTTTTCGCGCATCATATTTAAGGTAGTTAGTGCTCATGCAAAAGTGTAACAAAGAAAAAGATCACCACGCGTATTTCGGCATTTACGATGCGTTTTAAGAGGTGTTTTAGTATAAACACGCCCATTAGACGTACTTGTGTTTAATACATACATCGCGTTTCAACGAATTAAATCAAAAATAACTATTTTTCCTGTTTTCTCGTATATTATGTTATGTGTGTGTATGTGTGTGTGATGAAACTTAATGTTGGGATGTTCTTTGTTCCTCAAATGTAATATTGTTCAATTAGAGCTGTTAATTAATGACTTATTGAGCGTGAGGAAATGTGCTTTAACATATATATGGTGCCCAACTTCCAGTCGTTTTTTCCACAGCGAAAATTGCTGCTGAAAATTCAATGCCATGCATTATTCTTTAATTTCAATGTGCATTTTGCATGTTTACATGATACAAAATTGTACCAATATACACAATAAATAAATTATACGATATTTTGTACACTTGCTGATTGTCGAGAGATGTCTGAAGTTTCAACAGTGGGCGTGATATTGTTCATATCAATACACCCCCATAGTTATAGCAAATTGTTCATCGACTTTTCTGCCCTAACTAACAACACTTACGCAAATTAACGGAATTAGAATAACGAGTTTCTGGCACAATTGCTCACGATGTAGGTATGATATAAGCCATCGCACTTTGTAGAATGAAGATACACAACTCACAGTGAATGTTTTCTAACGAAAGTAATCAGAAGAATTTTATCAAAGGCCCACACGCTCAAACCTATATAGGATATTGAGCTCTGCCAAGAAAAGGAAGGTCACACGTATTGTTTTTGGAATTTCGAGGGCGCATCTTTTTGACCTGAAATTGACACGTAAGAGCGTGCAGTATAAAATTATTGTATTATTTCTTTTGAGACGGATCGCGCCGTGCGGCACGAATCACCAAACGAAATGCGTACAAACTTTTGAAAAAGTCCGTCTCAAAAGGGTTAAACAAATGAAGACACGGACAAACGGACAACGGTCATTCACTGCTCTGGTGTTTGGTAGAAAAGCATTTTTTACACATAGCATTTAACAATACAGACTGTCGTACAAATTTGCAAGGCTTGAGGAATAGCCAGACGTATGAATGACATGTGAAGGACAGAATGTATGAATCATCACACCTCTTCTCTCTCGCCCTCTCCCGCCCAAGAAGAGTCAAATCTCAATAATTACACTGGACAAGTCTGTCTGTGTCTTGCTGAAAGTGCCTGAGACACGAAATTTTCTCATGTCTTTTAGTGAAACATCTCCTAAAACTAAAATTTCTTTAAAATCCATAAACTGAAGTTATTTGTGTGGAAATTTCATGAGATTTCCTCATGTACATAGTAGTTGTTTACATTTATTCTCGACATATCAGACAAATTTGCTTTATATCACGTGGTCACAACAATGGAAAATTTTAGATAAACCATAAGCAAGCTTATAGCTTAACAACGAAATAACAAACGAGTTTATGATATGTATGATTGTAGATTAGCAAACGATTAACCTTAAATTCTCTAATTTATACATCGCCTAAGTGTAGTATAGTAAAGCCCTGATTACTCAAACTCGCTTGATTCGGACTCATTGCTAACGTAAACAAAGTTCATTTTCCTTTCGGTCAAATTTCCCCAGATAACTCGAACTCTAATCTCGGAAGGCAACATAGGGTATAATTCAAAGACCTAAATTTTATAAGTCGAAAGTGTCAATTCACATTGAACTATAGAAGTTCTACTGCAATGCCATAAATCTTTCATAAGCTTCATTTGAGACACCAATAATTTTTGTGTCATAGGCACTTCAGACAAAGGAAAGAAGGAAAGTCGTACAATTCCTCTTCAAAAATACGAGGTCCGAGGTCGGAGGTCGCCGTCGTTCGCCGTCATAGCAAAATGGCAAAAAAACAACTGAATGGAAAGTCCGACCGAATATTTACCCAAACCTATAAATAACAAAGCTACTCAAGAATAGTTATCGTTATTTTTATGCTACATATGCACAGAATGGGAAAGTAATGTCTCGCAGTCAGGCGCAATACGTTGCATAAAGGCACAGCCCAACAAAAACTTTTTTACATAACATAGCATTGCTGTATTAGCATTTTTAGAGATTTCACTTTATTACGAACACAAAACATTTCTTATTGATGCATTGATTCAAAATATTACAGTTGAAAAGCACTTACTCTTACTTTACCTTCAATCAATCTTTATTCATATTTTGGCATAATTTTTAATCCAAAGTTCCAAACACCTTTGAACTTATTGATAAATCTTTGTCACTGCCATGTTTTATTTTTTTACTGTAATTTTCCCGCTTAAAGGCATGTTCCATGTTCACAAAACACCCTGTTTCACACCCTTGTTGACTTACTGGATTGTTGGATTGACTGGGATTGAATTGACCATATATTTGAGGATCACATTGGCTTGTTTGGATTTGGATTACTAATGATTGGATGAGTAACTGATTTTGGCCAATCAGGAATGTCTCTATATTAACCAATCAAATTTAGTCCAGTCATCCTACCCGTCTAAAGCCGCCATTACTATTTTGCGCGATGTAAAATGTAAACAAAACAGCAATAAATATGCTGGCCAAAGCGATTTTGGTTTTGATGTATTTCCTTTTGATATTCTTGGTAGCCAAAGTTCTTGACTTATCTGCAAACTGGTTGGAACTCAGTTGCGTTGCCTCCCCTCTTTTTAATCCTCTCGCTGTTAGCGTCAGAAAATTGAAGAGATTGTTGGACGAAAGAGGTGTTAGTTATGTCGGCGTCGTGGATAAGACCGAATTAGCCCAGCTCGTTGAAGAATCGGGAAGTTTTTGCTCGAATTGCAACTGCAGTGATGTTAATGGTAGTCAAGAGGATGAGGATGACGAAGTAACGTACTTCCATAGTTCCTCTCATTTTTTTGAGAAAATCGAAGACACGAAGGCGAGCGGATGGCTTGTCAAAATCATTCCAGACTACAGAGGCTCTCTACTATCATTGAAACAATGGCGACGACTATCGAAGAAGATGACATTATTGGGAATTAAAGCGGGAGTGTTTGATTGCGGCTTGGATCCCCGATTATGTGCTAAAAATGGCTGGGATGCGAAATGTCTGCTTCTTTCATCTCCAGTTGGACATCATGCCAAGGGAAATGTCAAAATTCATATTTACAGTTCCAAACCTTCCGTGGAGCGTGCATTCTCCTGGATAAATAGCATACTTGGGAAAAGAGTGAGGAAGCTAAAAAATCCCAAAGAATATTCCCAATACTTGGCAAGCAAAGAGAAAAGTAATTATGAGATGACTAAATTGGTGTTTTTTGGTCAACTGGATGAACCACCTGCTCTTTTGTCATCTTTATCCATAAAGTTTATGGGCAGAGTCAACTTTGCATACTTCAAAGTGACAAAAAATAATGCTGATAAAATCTTGGGAGAACATGGTAGCAAGCGATTCTGTCGACTGTTGGTGATTACACCAGAAGGACAGCTTTCTTATGGAATGATGAAAGGAGAGTTTATTCAATACAGATCTCTGGAAACATTTTTGACAAGTTTACATCCGGAAGTGAATGAGGCTTTTCTTTTAACAATAATACTTGTCAATCAAATTTGTATATTGGAATTGTTTTTAACCTCAGGTGGAATATTGAGAAAAATGGTCAAATTCTTCATGTTCTTTGTTTTTGCCAACACGGCGCTTATGATAATTTGGCTTCCGATTGTTAAAGTGTACCGATTGGATATTGCACAACCTCTCATAAACATAAGTCTTCGCATATGTCGCTTCATTACAACCAGCAATCTGTTATCACTAGTTAGATATTATTTCTTATCCTATTCTAAATGGTCTTTATGGTTTCTTAGCTTTTGCATGTATGGCTTTGGTTTAAACAGGCTTAAAAGAAAGATCAAATATCTTGATAATGATGATTCGACAGACTGGTTTTATGAAGATTTGATGTATTTCAGTAGATTTTTCAACTCTTTTGGAACAACCATGGTCTTTCCTTCCAGTTTGCGGCTTAACGAAGGCACTTTCTTCTTGCATGCATATGAAGACATGCTTATACAAAGGCTTGCAACTCCTGATCTATGGCTTCAACCACTTTTGCCCACAGACTTTGTGAGGGACCTACCTGTTTGGAAGAACTGTGAGTGCGCACGGCCGTCTGATAGCAGGTTCTCACAAAAAACAAAGGCAGCATGTGATGCAAATTTCTGTAAATGGTTGAAAAGGCCTGACAAAACAATCATATCAGAAGAATGCTCTATTTGCCTTGGTGCCTATCGGAAAAACTGTATCATGGTATCATTACCTTGCAAACATGTTTTTCATCAACTTTGTTTGGAGAAATGGTTCAAGTCTGAGCATCAACTGAACAACCTTAACTGTCCAGTTTGCAGATGGCCAGCATATAAAGCTAAAGCAAGTACACATGATTTTCCTACAGCTAATGGGAACAGTTAATGGACATATATTAAATATACTATAGATAGAATATATATTACAATTGAATGGGTAGTCTTCACAGTTACATAGTGACACTCTAAATTTACTTTAAATAAGGCTAACAAATTCTTTAATCTGAATTCACTCAGTTCTTGTTCGGAACATTACTCTTGCATCTGGAATGGACTCTAATTTATGGGTACGAGAAAATAAATCAATATCAAAACCACATCTTTGCGTGATCTTTTCATAAAACCTTGCAGGTTTTGTGTGACCATAGACAGTGAAAATGTATCGATGATAACCCACACCTTTGGGTGGTGCTGGTGGATTGTAATCTATAAAAAAGAATAATGAAAAATGAAGCAACATTTTAACTGTCATTTTAACTGTATTTAAGTATGTCTACAGACTTATGTTGAAACAAGGAGTTATCATTTTGAATTCCACAGAGAAAATGTTCCAATTTTAATGAAATGAATTTTGAAGTCATGACAAAATAAAGCAATAGTGATTTCGATCGTGATTCAGATCAGACGGGCAACAATGACATGGAAGAAGTTTTTAATACTGAATTGAATAGAAGTGATTTTGATGAATTTTAATTTCAGATTTCACAAACTGAGATAAATATGGGATTATGTTATATCTGATCCTGGTATGTGACTTGTGGATAAAAAACCCACAAGTCACATACCTTGATTTGGGAAACTAGATTATCAGGAGGGATACCAAATACTAAACCCCAGTATCCATGTGAACACTTTAAAAATCTGAGCCTGCTTTTCAGAAAGACATTTATGATTTACCTGTAATGACATTCCAATCTGATGTGCCATCATTTGCCAAAAAACCTTTTTAAGCTCACTCCCTTGTAAAAGAATGAACATTTTGAACAAACTTAGCAAATGCTTTAATACAGAAAAGATCATTGCTTTGAAATTTCAAGTTGTTACAGCCTACTTACCTTAACATCCGATAAGTACAAATGAAGCCAACTTTGGCATTTTGGTATATTCTGCGATTTTGGATTCATAGCAGATGGTGCATCCGGGTCAAACATAAGAACTTCATAATATTTATTCTAAAAATTGCAAAAAAAGCACCATTCTTAGCATAAGAACATCGACCAGCAAACAGGCTATGATAAATCAAGCTTATGGGCAAAGGTAAAATTTTTGAAGATGGGAAGAGGAGACAAGTCATAAACAATGCACCAAAATAAGTGATATATAGTTATCAATTTGAAATTGTCATGAAATACAGGAAGGGTAATTCTTCCCTTCATCCCCCCCTGGTGATGGTGGATGCAAGTAAAATTTTATTTTTAAATAATAAACAGGCATTTCACAGAACCAGCAACAATTTTACCATGACATGTGGTTAGCACAACGAAACATTTCAACATTTAAATGTCACCTTCAAGTGAACAATAATAGAGTACCTAGCCAACAACAATCAGGACAACCTTTGGTTAATGACTTAGTGTCAGGTTTGTTGGTATTAGAAATATTAAGTAGGGTATTTTTAAAACTACTGCCCTTAAAGAAACTTGATTTATTTGGGTGACTAGTTTATAAAAAGATAGAGTGTGATGTAGAAAATCAGTTTTGGGGATATTGCGTCAGGTCAAAAGACATTGCTGTCTTACCACATCGGCAAACGAGAATTTAATTTCAGGAGTAGAAGTGACCAAATCCTTTGGATAGTTTCGGTCGCAAACGACCGACATAGATCCATACTTTACATCAAGAGAACTACTTTCTTTTGAAGGACATTCGTCGAAATCAAAGCCGTGAACAGTTAAAATGCATGCAAGAATAAAATGAATACATCCAGCTAAGAAATTCATCTTAAATTCAAGAAATAGAATGTCCAATGTCGACTTATACCTTTGTGACGTCACAATAAAAGCAGCAGAGATTTGCATAACTGCAAATGATCCAATAAACGCCTCTTATCAATTACACTTTGTATCTAATAAACGCCCCCCTTTAAAACCTGTTTCTATTAGATACCTCTTTCTCTCTAATGGACGCCATCCAACACATTACCGTTGTGATACGATTAAAATGATGGGTCGTCTGTCGGATTAAAAACCGTTTATGTGTTCATTTGCTCACGAACGGAGGTGATCGAAGTCATATAAACGCCTCTCTCTATTACACTCCTTCCTGGAAAAGCTTGAATTTATTCAACGCACCGGGCGTTTATTTGATCATTTACGGCATTATTTATTATAACACCTACTTTAAAACTTTTCAGTGGAACGCGAGCCGGGGAACTAGAAGCTGTTAAGTCCCATAAAGTAGAAAAGGAAAGATTTTATGTGACTACAGACACATAAGAGTTGCTTGATCCAGTCTCATAACGAGATCAGTGGTCATTACATTTAACCACGGGAAGTTTAGCCAACAATTCTACAATTATCTCTTGATAATGTATCGGCAGTTGAACCCACATCAATGAGTTAAGCACACCAAATAATTTATTCATACATTCAATTTGAAAAATTCTAATTTAAATTACACGGATAGTTGCCATCGTCATCTTCAAAATTAGGTATTTGGTGCTCATGATATTTCAAGTAATCCTCTGTACAAGATCGGCGTAAGGCGTTCCCGTTTGAGCAACTTTCTTAAATGTTGCAAGAAAAGATTCCTTTTCTTCTTCGTTCAAGTTCTGGAGAAATTGAAGCAAGTTTTTATGAGATGCATTTTAAAAAAAAATTGACGGAAAACGAACAAACCTGATTATGATAGAAATCTAGCGCCGTTAGTAGAAAGTAAGTACGATCGATCGTGTCTAATTTTCCAATTCGCGATACGGCATGCTCGAATCTAAGTCACGTTAAGGATGTATGTATGTAGTCAGTGAAACTTTATGTTAGATAGAGTCAAGAACGATATGTTAAAGATAAAACGTTAAGGATGTATGTATGTAGTCAGTGAAACTTTATGTTAGATAGAGTCAAGAACGATATGTTAAAGTTAAAGTCACGTTAAGGATGTATGTATGTAGTCAGTGAAACTTTGTGTTAGATAGAGTCAAGAACGATATGTTAAAGATAAAGTCACGTTAAGGACGTATGTATCTGATCGGTGAAACTTTATGTTAGATAGAGTCAAGAAAGATATGTTAAAGATAAACTCGCGTTAAGGATGTATGTATGTAGTCAGTGAAACTTTATGTTAGATAAAGTCAAGAAAGATATGTTAAAGAAAAGAGACGTTAAGGACGTATGTATCTAATCGGTGAAACTTTATGTTAGATAGAGTCAAGAAAGATATGTTAAAGATAAACTCACGTTAAGGATGCATGTATGTAGTCAGTGAAACTTTATGTTAGATAAAGTCAAGAAAGATATGTTAAAGAAAAGAGACGTTAAGGACGTATGTATCTAATCGGTGAAACTTTATGTTAGATAGACTCGAGAACAATATATTAAAGATACAGTGCTCTTAGCAATCGGTTTGTTGAAGCAGCGATGAAGATGCAGGTGAAACTCCAAACGGCCATTCGAGCGGCGGCCTTTAAAATATATGGACAATATTTCAGAGTTAAGAAAACCTTTATGACTGATACATCAATGATCTGTCCAAAATGACTTTGCACCTCTGTGTAAAGCTACCAAGTGACAGTAAGATCCAATCTTTTACTGATGTTTGTTGATCTTTGCTAATCAAATTCTCACACACCTACTCCAAAATAGATAATAGAATTGTTGTTAAACAACTCAGACTCCTAAGACACACACCCGAAAGAAACGTTTTTGAAATCATACAACGGTCAACACATGGAACATTTCACATAGCATAAATAGCATAGTTTATCCGAGGACGTAGCAAAGAATTGTCCAGTTGGGTGTGTGTATGTGTGCGGTGTTGTATGAAAATGACCACATAATTACACTGATGTAGTCATTTTCATATCAGACCACACATATCTAAAAACTGGGCAAGTATTGGTCAATATGACTGTAATTGTATTGACAAATATTTGCCAGTTCTAACATGCAGCGAACCCAATTTTAAGTATAGTTGGTCATCATAATAGTTGAACACGTAAATTCTATGTTCAAATTGGTCAAATAACTTCTTATCGTTGAAAGAGTGATATTTTTTCAATCGCTATTGATCAGTAAATTTTCGTTATCGGTAAAAAGTCTTCAGAACGTAAAATTTACATTTTCAACAATTTTCACAAACTATACTTAGACTTGCAAGTGTTTGGAAGGTTCTACGCCCCTGCATTATCCACACGGGCTGTAACGTCCCAGAGCGCATTTACAAACCTTAAACAAAACAGAAGCCATGAGTTCTGGATGTGGTTGTTGACTGGAAACGAATTCCCCAATCACTTTATTCATAACCTCGTCCGGAGGAAAGAAATCACAGAGTACAATTGGTAGAATCTCCGATACCAACCTCGCCTCGGAACGAAAACCTTTACGGATTCTGCAGAAACAAGGATTATGACGCTAAATAACAGTGAATTGTTCAATTGGCAAGAAAATCTTTAATTCCCATGAGCAATGGAACTTCACAATAGAAATTTTAATAGAAATTTGAATAAAAAGTACTCGAGATAAAAGAGTGCTAAATATCTAGCTTGCAACACATTTTAAAGAAAGAAACCAATCAACTTGACTCGGGACCATCATTGCAACTTCCCATAATTCATAGATAAATTTAAGCTCAAACAAAGAAATAACAGAACATAGGAAAACGTATTTGCTCTAGTATTCATGAACGACCGTAGTACTATCGAGAATTTAGAGGGGAAGGGGAGGGGGGCTCATATTTGTATATGCGTAATATGCCCCATTATGTTTTTTGAAATCCATTGTTTTCTACGGATTACAACATGCGTATGTTAATATGAGCCCGCAATCATCGACAGAACTGCAACATTTATGTTTAAAGTATGATAACGAATTGAAGACATATGAGTTCGGAGACAAGGAAAAAGGAATATAATATCTTGTCAAGTTGAATGTGCAATTTCAAGTTACCGGTCGAAGAGCGCTGTCGTTCTTTCTAAAGCCAATAAAAGAACATCGTCATTCGGTGAGTCGACATCTTCGTTGTCTTGGAATAAACCGCTGGGACGATCGCCTTCCTTTCCCGTGTACATGCACGTCAGCAAAAGACCGAGAGCAGATATCGCTTTCTGTGGATTTCGTATGGCCAACCTCGAGAAGGAAACATGGTTTTACGCGTCTGCATCACTAAACACAATCTCGAACAAAACAATGTACTTGGTACAGGGAAAAGTTTAAAAACTGCTACTGGAAAAGTGGCAGTTGGTTTGGAGGATAAAGGTTATTTTAAAAACTCTTAAGCGTTTTGTTTACTGCAATAAATCTTATTCAATTTCAACATTATTAAATGGAAAACAAAATTCTTCTCCGTCATCGTGTCATTTTTCACTAAAATTGAAACAAGTTGAAATGCTTTCGTAGGATGATGGAAATCGCTACCTTTCGATACTAAACTTAACCAAAGCATCGCTGTCTTCTCTTGATAACGAGAAAGAGACGACCAATCTTTCAAAGCCACGTATTATTGCATGGTAAAGATGCAAAGGAACGTTATCCTCTCCAGACGACGCCAATGTTAAAATGGTCTATAGATGTATAACAAAAAATCATCTGGGCAACACTATACATTCATTATTTTTTGCACAAAGGGATGCATCCACTATGGTTTAGGGGGGAGAGGAAAGGTGTGTGCTCTAGTTTGGATTGAATTTGGCTGGCTTCTTCTTGCCGAAGCATGTCAGACCTTCTTGTTAAATTCTATTTCTTTTTCATTATGATTGAAAGATCTTTGGTACTTGGAAGTGTGCTCCATTACACGCAAATCACAATTACGTTTGCTTAGTTGATTGGTAGCTATGTTGGTATCATGTGCTCCATGTTTGGTATGTTGTGTGGCACCCTTTCTGTACCCACTCCTAAACATACCCCTAATTGCACATAAGTCATGGAAAGTCCAGCAGTAAGTACCGAATATGAATGGACTTTCTGATTAAGTCATGTATTAATTGTTTTGTGGCACCTTTTCCGTACCCCTCTCCCAAGTGGCGTGCTAGCAGGGGGGAAGACGGAGATACGCCCCAGCTGTTGAATTTTAGGGGCGCTGAAATAAATAAGGGACGTCAAATTTGAATATATGTTGGAGAAACGCGTTTGAAATTTTACGGTTAGTATGAATTCACTCCAGGAAATAGCATTTTATAGCTTCTTACTTTTAAAAATTTCCGGGAGCGTGCTCGAACCCCCAAACACCACTCGCCCCTTCGGCACTCGGCTCTGGCCTTTGGCTCTCGTTCTTAAAGTGCTATATTATTAAAGCGTTTTCAGTGGTAACCGACTGCCCCCTAAACCGGAGAATTTGCTCACAGCACACCACCACTCTCTCCCAAATACATCCCTGGTAGAACATATCATTAACGGAAAGCCCAGCATTAAGTACCAAATATGAATGAGCTTTCTCATCAGGTCAATTAGAAAATAGTCATGGATAGATTCATCATTTCTATGGTGTTTTGTACTTTATCGTACTTTGAATCAATCATAAACATGATCATAGAAATAGACAATGACCAAAATCAAGTGACTTTGCTCACCGTGATGAAGTTTTTCTTGAATTCGACATTATTGATCTCACCGCCATAGTGCTCCAGAAGGTAAAAAGACGCAGATAGTAACACGAGCAAACGATGTTCGCCGAAAACGCTACAACTTTAAATGTATTAATAACAATGAGTTGAAGCATGACGATCATAATCAGAAACACAAAGTTTCGACTTACTCGTTCACTTGAGCCAAGACTTTCATAACGTAATCTGTGACCAGCGGTATGACAAGATTTACGACCGAAACGATGTGAGACTCGAAGATAGAGAGCTCCGAATAATGCAGCAACCTAATGTACATATGACGTGAATGTTTTTCAACATATCCATGGAAAAGGAATAATGGGAATAATAGTGCATTCAAGGCAAGGTAAGGGGTAAGGACAAGGATCGCAGAAGATAGATAATCAGGGATGGTCTCAACATCATATATTCATGTTTTATAATCTGTAATCACAATTGATTTTAATAATAACCAACAAAGTATTTCCTGAACATCGCCCCCACCCCCTCTAATATAGATAATTTGCAGTCATGAAGTACTATGAACAAGGCTGAGGTTAGAATAAGGAGCCGGATTGTCAGCGAGAATAGAACATAACTATAAGGTATAAATACTACGATGTACTCTGTAATCAATAAATAAACTAAAAATTTTGGGTGTTATGTTCAAAATGTATATTTGCTTGATTGTCATGAAACTGAAACGAAATTTGCGCATGCGCATACCGCCAAAACTCAAAAAAATGGCAAATGGATAATGGTGCATTCACTCACCTGAAGAGGAATATGTGGAGATTTGAATGTTGTTTCCATTATTTTGACAACTTTTTCAGGGATTACACCTTCCTTTTTTTTGTACGAAATAAAAAAGACTTTTAAGTGTAAGTAGAGAATGACTATTATTATTTTGACAACTGTTTTAGGGATTACATTTTCCTTTTGGTTGCATGAAATTGGCCTTGAAAGTTTTTGATGAAAATTTTGCCTTTGTTAGATGGAATTGTATTCCACAAAAGATAAATGTGTAAAGGTACAATTATTTTCAGTTTCTCTTTCAAAATGTAAAAGGAAGTCAATCCTGGTTTCACACCTTCCTGTTTCGCATGAAACTTTGAAAAACGTTACATATCTCTGTGTGACTAACATTAATCTGATCATGCGGTCACCGATAAGTATATTTTACACGTGTTCCCTTTAGTATATTGTTACCCTTAGAGTCTCAAAAGTTGCCTGCCCAAGCAACCGTCCCTGTAAAGTAGCCTGCCCAAGCAACCCCTCGAAAATAGTCGCCTTTCTTAATACTTAGTGAAGAATAGCGAGAGAAACCGTTCACTTAACTCATGAAACTTTTGAGGAATTTCCCAACATTTCTAAATAAAACGTTTATTCGTGTCAAACGCAACCTTACACAACTTTAAACGCACTAAAAAATCCTGTTCATACAGCGTGGATAAAGAGTTCACCATTGAAGTTAACCAATGCTAAAAATGACAACTCAAACTAAGCGCCCCCACTGAATGTAACCGCCCCTTGAGGTCACTAATTTCGAAAGTAGCCCAAGTAGGTCACTTTTGAGACTCTACGGTTTTATACTCTACGGTTTTATACATCTTTTCCTTTTATGTCATAGTAGGAACAATTTGAATATGCTTGAAGAACATGCAGTGGAGAAATACAACACATAGTTACCATTTTTAAGACGGCCAGCGACTTACAAAGTGCTGGCAGTAAATACTCCATCATTATTTCATCTTCAGCGGGATAATTTTGATAAAGTTCGAGGAGTTCGCTCAGTAACCATTCATACTGCGCCGTGTCGACGAAAAGATCCGAAATGATGAGCAACTAAAATTTTAGATCATACTATCGAGCATTGGACATTATGAACCAAAAACTTTTATACTTCATGTTAAACTCTAAAGTTGGAAATTAAGGAATACCGGATAAAAACTGTATGGTTTCACTGCCAAATTACATGTAATCCAGCAAATCATTCACGAGAAGAACAATTGGTGTTTTCGTTAAGTGACGTTTCTACATCCTTAGTAGGAATCATTTTCAGATTCAACAGAAGAGTAAGCGCCAGTTTTGCTGTATTTTTTGCCTGGTTTATACGTCATGAGGTTGTTTTTGAAGTAAATTGGTGGTCTTTAGTGAAAAATGCGTAGCTCTTTACTCGACCCCTCCCCGGGGTCCCCCTAAACCAACAAGCTTCGTTTAAAAAATCTACCTTCATAAAAACATGCCTGAACTTGCTTGAAGCCAAATTTCACCTCCAGACACGCGTGTCTCTGGAAGGTCAAATCCCGAATTTTAGCGCATCGTCGAAAGTCAACTTTCTTTGGATCGCTCGTGAAAAATAGGAACTAGTTAAACTACAGGCTTTATAAATTTTGGCGGGTAGTAGCTTTCCAGTTATATTTAGTTCATAATAGACAGACTATAAAGATCAATGACCTCGAATTCAATCTACAATATACCTGATTCCACCGAAATTGTAAAGTTACGAATGAGGCAGGTCGCCATCTTGAAAACTAGCAAAACTGACTATATTTGCCAGTACTATCTGCTTCCTCTGCATTAATATACAGTTGCAGACATGATAGTTTAGGTCTGAAGTTTAAACTGTTTCATATGATTGGTTTTTAAAGTTGCTTATAACTTACTTTTGATTATGAGTTTTGCTTTTTGCCATGTTTCAAGATGGCGTCCTTGCCTCACCTTGACACTGTAGTTAGACATCCGGGGGATTGAGTTGTAAAGCATTTATCAGGATTAATCACTAATACTAAGATCATCATATATACATACGGATTTAACAGATTCTGTAAGCAACATCAGAGGCGTTTTCGGCTGCGTGTAGGGCGACACCCATTGCTCAAACAGTTCCATTAAGAACTGGACACAAGAACGCACATCGATTTTCTCTCGAGGCGAAAATTCCGAAGATAACAATCTGGATGATGGATTTCCCGATTCATCTTCATCGGAGTTATCAAATGTACATTGGTTTTGGAGACTATTGACAGAGATCTAAAAACAGAAGGAAAAGGAGTTCTGAAACGTTTGCATGAAAAAATTAAAGACCGTGGACGTGTTATTAATGTACAAGGTAAGACCTTTAACATGTAAAAAAATGCAACTGGTACAACCGTTGAGGTGTAAATAAGACATAAATTACGATTTTTTAGATGTAAAAAGATGTAAATTACGATTTTTAAGATGAAAAAAGATGTTAATGGTGCAACCGTTGTGATGCATAAAAGATATAAATGAAAAAACTGGTTAAAAAAGATGCACAAGCTATTTTGATAACATCGTTCAATACCTGACACAATGTATAAGAATGTAAAGCCGAGATTCTTTCGATGTTTACTCCATACAGACTTGAAGTATCCACGCTGTCATTCAACCAAAATGAGCTGAAGGAAAATAGAAATCAAAAGATTGAATGACTAGACAAAAAATCGGTCTCATCTTAGCGTGACGTTGTCAGAATACGAATTTGTTCACCTTTGAGAGCATTGTTTGGCGAAATGATCTTCTACATTTTTCGTACAGTGCAAAGTTTTTACCAGCCCTAAAAAATTAAATACGATAAATCAACAGAATATCCAAATCAGTGATATTAAAGCTTTCTTCCCTTTGTCTAACCTACTCCCAAAGAATGGTTCCCTGTGTTTTAACTGCCACCCAAGAATGGTTCCCTATGTTTTACCTACCCAAGAATGGTTCCTATGTTTTACCTGCCACCCATGAATGGTTCTCTGTGTTTTACCTACCACCCATGAATGGTTCCCTACGTTTTACCTGCCACCCAAGCATGGTTCCCTACGTTTTATCTGCCACCCATGAATGGTTCACTATGTTTTACCTACCACCCATGAATGGTTCACTATGTTTTACCTACCACACATGAATGGTTCACTATGTTTTACCTATCACCCAAGAATGGTTCCTATGTTTTACCTACCACACATGAATGGTTCACTATGTTTTACCTACCACCCATGAATGGTTCACTATGTTTTACCTACCACACATGAATGGTTCACTATGTTTTACCTATCACCCAAGAATGGTTCCTGTTTTACCTACCACACATGAATGGTTCACTATGTTTTACCTACCACCCACGAATGGTTCACTATGTTCTACCTACCACCCATGAATGGTTCACTACATTTACCTACCACCCATGAATGGTTCCCTCTATGTTTTACTACGACCATATGAATGGTCCCCTATGTTTTACCTGTCACCCATGAATGGTTCCCTATGTTTTGCCTGCCACCCATGAATGGTTCCCCATGTTTTACCTGCCACCTGCATTATGGTTCCCTTACGTTTTACCTACCACCCATGAATGGTTCCCTATTTACCTGCCACCCAAGCATGGTTCCCTACGTTTTATCTACACCCGAATGGTTCACTATGTTTTACCTAACACCCATGAATGGTTCACTATGTTTTACCTACCACACATGAATGGTTCACTATGTTTTTACCTATCACCCAAGAATGTTCCATGTTTTCCTACCCACATGAATGGTTCACTATGTTTTACCTACCACCCATGAATGGTTCACTATGTTTTACCTACCACACATGAATGGTTCACTATGTTTTACCTATCACCCAAGAATGGTTCCTATGTTTTACCTACCACACATGAATGGTTCACTATGTTTTACCTACCACCCAATGGTTCATTAATTATGTTCTACCTACCACCCATGAATGGTTCACTATGTTTTAGCTACCACCCATGAATGGTTCCCTATGTTTTACCTACGACCCATGAATGGTCCCCTATGTTTTACCTGTCACCCATGAATGGTTCCCTATGTTTTACCTGCCACCCATGAATGGTTCCCTACGTTTTACCTGCCACCCAAGCATGGTTCCCTACGTTTTACCTGCCACCCATGAATGGTTCACTATGTTTTACCTGCCACCAAGAATGGTTCACTATGTTTCACCTACACCCATGAATGGTTCACTATGTTTTAATTGCCACCCATGAATGGTTCACTATGTTTTACCTGCCACCCAAGAATGGTTCACTATGTTTTACCTACACCCATGAATGGTTCACTATGTTTTACCAGCCACCCTTGAATGGTTCACTATGTTTTACCACACCCATGAATGGTTCACTATTTTTACCTGCCACCCATGAATGGTTCACTATGTTTTACCTGCCACCCATGAATGGTTCCCTACGTTTTACCTGCCACCCAAGCATGGTTCTACGTTTTACCTGCACCCATGAATGGTTCACTATGTTTTACCTGCCACCTGCTGTTCCCTACGTTTTACCCCACCCACGAATGGTTCCCTACGTTTTACCTGCCACCCATGAATGGTTCACTATGTTTTACCTGCCACCCAAGAATGGTTCACTATGTTTTACCTGCCATCCATGAATGGTTCACTATGTTTTTACCTGCCACCATGAATGGTTCACTATGTTTTACCTGCCACCCATGAATGGTTCCCTATGTTTTACCTACGACCCATGAATGATCCCCTATGTTTTACCTGTCACCCATGAATGGTTCCCTATGTTTTACCTGCCACCCATGAATGGTTCCCTACGTTTTACCTGCCACCAAGCATGGTTCCCATGCTTTACCTGCACACCCATGAATGGTTCACTATGTTTTACCTGCCACCCAAGAATGGTTCACACTATGTTTACCTGCCACACATGAATGGTTCACTATGTTTTACCTGCCACCCATGAATGGTTCACTATGTTTTACCTGCCACCCAAGAATGGTTCACTATGTTTTACCTGCCACCATGAATGGTTCACTATGTTTTACCTTCCACCCATGAATGGTTCACTATGTTTTACCTGCCACCCATGAATGGTTCACTATTTTTACCTGCCACCCATGAATGGTTCACTATGTTTTACCTGCCACCCATGAATGGTTCCTACGTTTTACCTGCCACCCATGAATGGTTCCCTACGTTTTACCTGCCACCCATGAATGGTTCCCTACGTTTTACCTGCCACCCATGAATGGTTCCCTACGTTTTACCTGCCACCCATGAATGGTTCCCACGTTTACCTGCCACCCAAGAATGGTAACTTTTGTCTCGACACATGAAAGCTCGCACCAACCGAGGGGTTACCAGGCAAAGGATGTAGCGTCGTTTGAAGCAACAGTCTAGTTATGCATTGTATTGCTAGGGCAACCAGACTTCACAGAATCAATGTCCTCCTAACATACAGTTCAAAAGATCAAAGCTATTCCACTTATTACTATTGACTCATCCATATATACATTGAATAATACGTTTAGTACATGAAACTCGTACATATTTACATTGAACCCTTCATATTCACATTGACCATACATATTCATTCAATAAACCATAAATATTCATTCATTGTGCAATACATATTCGGACATTGACCATATATATTCACACAATGAACCATATATTTATACTAACCATACATATTCACACATTGACCATACATATTCATTCAATAAACCATACATATTCATTCATTGTGCAATACATATTCGGACATTGACCATATATATTCACACAATGAACCATACATATTTATACATTAACCATACATATTTATACATTGACCATACAAAAACATACAATGACCATACAAAAACATACAATGACCATACATATATTTACACATTGACCATACAAAAACATACAATGACCATATATATTCACACATTGACCAAACAAATACACAACTTGTACATACATTAGAATTGTGCTCGAGACTATTTAGAAATCACTTTATACGTACCTCTCTTGAAGTCTGTTCGGGCGATAGTGGAGAACTAAGGACCCCAAGCAACGCCGCCCAAGTTTCAAATGCTGACGCGATATCCAACCTAAAATGAAGAGATACTTTATGTAAGACATTTGATATAAACATCACACCTTTTTCATTCCATTAAGTTAAGAGGAAATATTCATTCATTACAGCAAACATAACAATCATTAGTGTATTTAATCATTGTTGAGAACTTACGAATAAACACGGGAACTTTGTCTTAAACTACAAATTTGCCCACTGGTGTGTTCTGTATTTATTTCCGAAGTCATTTCATCAATCAAAAAGACTCAATGAATATTCAATGAATGATATTAAACAAAATTTTTCCCAAGATCTCAAAGAGACCGAAGGAAATCTTTTGCCATTCGTACCGATCTAAACGGTAAATAACGTATTTTTTGGTAAAAGCAACAGTTTTATTAAATTGTGCAGTTAGATTCAATGGCGGCAAAGTAAAAATAAGCTCATTTTACTTTGGAGAACTCAAGATTCATTTAAAATAGATCAATACAATCAAAAGTTGGCTGGTGATTTCCTTATGAAGATAAAACAAAACAGAACAAGTCTTCGCTCAAGTATTTATCTACAGGATTCCGGAACGTAGTCAAATATCGTAAAACTTTTCGAGAGGGCCAGAATCTGGGCATAATTTTTTACTGTTTGTCATTCCGGACTGGCTAAATACTCTTAATTTAGACCATTTAAATGCTGTTGAAAACCGTACTATCTACTGTTTGAATGCACGATGCTTCGAACTCATAAATGGTTGGTTTTTCCAGGCCAAACTTTAAACTCAAAATTGTTGACACATCGAGTTACAAGCAGAAGCCGGGAAGGCAAGAAACGTGAGCAACGCAAACCTCGTACAGAGACTGAACTTATTGTGCAAAATATATCAAGGCCCACAACTTTGTCTTGCCTAAGTGCGTGTGTTTTCCTCAAATGCAGATAGATTGGTGCCAATGAATGAATATTTCCCCCTAATGAGCAGGAAAAGATACTCTATTTATATCAGATACTCTATTTATAACAGCCTACTCACCAATCGAGTGAACTCTTAACACGAAATCCTGCAGGACATCTCTCTCTCGGAGTATATCCGTGGGTAATGGGGGTAACTCGGTACCATGCCTTTCCTCTTCCCATCCCATGTTCCATACGAGCGGTGGAATGCGAACGTACGCGTTGAACAAAGTGAGACGCGCAAGTCCAGTGATTACGTCACGACATGACCGTATGAGTGCATCAGGATGTACGAGATGATGATTGGTGTTATTTAAAAGCGTGTATAGATAGTTGACCAACATCGAAGCTTCGTTGTAAACAATATCGGAGTCGGGCAGTTTGATGTAAGGTTTATCTTCAGGTAAGATTGTGCCCGGTATCACGAACACTGAAACACAACAACAAAATGATATGCAATCAAAGAT